AAAAAAAAAAAAAAAAAAAAGAACAGTTAATTTCTACTTTAAATGTGCTCTTCAGCCCTGCCTTTGATATTACTTGCTTTTATTGCAGCCCCAGAACCTCTGACTTTACCACCACCACAGTCAACAAAAGGTAATGAAGCTTCCTTTAATTAATGTGAAAGGATGATCTTTCTTTAATACCTTCTGTCCTCAACGTTGTACTTAGCGTTGGTTTGTTTTTAAAATATATCTTAATTGTTCTTCAGATCTTTTCAGCCCTGCCTTTGATATTACTTGCTTTTATTGCAGCCCCAGAACCTCTGACTTTACCACCACCACAGTCAACAAAAGGTAATGAAGCTTCCTTTAATTAATGTGAAAGGATGATCTTTCTTTAATACCTTCTGTCCTCAACGTTGTACTTAGCGTTGGTTTGTTTTTAAAATATATCTTAATTGTTCTTCAGATCTTTTTTCAGCTACTGTTGCCAGAGTATCTATTTTGTACCCATGCTTGTCTGAACAAAGGCTCTGAGACAGACATCTGTGCAAGCCATGCTAATTTTCACTAATACCTTCTTTATTGTCCTGCCTTATATTGGAGGAATTTGTCCTTGGCTTGTTCTAAACTGGGTTTTTTCAGTGGAGTTTCCTGAGTTCCCTAGGGAGTATTTGCATCTTTTACTTTGGGAGTTGTTTTTTCTACCTTTTCAAAATTCTAACATTTGCAGGCTTTCTTGGAAAGCACTATGATCTTTCCAGATATAAATACCCTGATGTGTCATTAGGATATCCGTTAAAAGTGAAACACGTGAACACACACATACGCTGAATCTTTAGAGAGTTTTTCTTAAAAGAGCAAAATAGATGTATTCTGGTCCAGCTTAGCCAATTTTTACCCAGATTTTCCTCTAATAAGAACTACTTATTTTATTACATTCACATCTTCCAAAAGAGAATCATGCCTGGCTTTTTTTTTTTTCCATTTCTCTTTCCAAACTGAACTGACTGGCTACATTTTTATTCACTTCATCTGAAAGCACAGGAGTCAATTTAAATAGAAAAGGTACTTGTTATATAAATAAAAGTTCATCATTTATGTGTGCTCAATCTAATAATTAAAAATTGTGTATCTTGTATTTAAATAGATTTGTCATTTCTTCCTTTATTTTTATTTCTTTTTAAAATTAATTTTGTTGGTACATTTAAGGTATATAATATAATGACATTCATCATTGGAAATTTGCACCTTTACATAATCTGTTTTGGTTCTTATTTTGTCCCCATTCCCCTGTCCTCCCTTCAACCTTTATTTCTCCTTAATGGTGGTTTATGCAGCTTTAGGACCTGGAACACTGGAAACTAAAACTTTAATGACATTAGGTTATACAGTTATTGAGTGGGTGACCTTTGTTTCCTCTCTTCCTAATTGCTGATGTCTTTATTGGCAGGGTCACATTCATGGATTTATTCATCATTGTCCACTTGTGTTAGCATACTCTGTTCTTATTTCTGCAAAAAAAAATTAAGTATTTTACCTATAGTTTATAAATCTATTTCATTTTTAAGTTGTGTCTCTTAAAGGAACTTCTGAATTCAAAGTTGTTTGTGTGTATTATTGATTTGTGGATTTTAAAAATACAAAATGAAAAACTTCTTTTGAATATTAAGCCTAATTTTCATCACTGATAGCTTCTCAAAAGACAGCCTTTCTAATGCTCCCCTTCAGCATACACCTTCAAAGGTGTATGTGAATTTAGAGACTGTCTCCTCTAAACTGTACATAATATTTCTGAGGTTTCCTGTCTCAAGTAAAAAAATAGGAGGTCTCTTGGGCAGCTTACAAACCTTGGATAAAAAAATTTAATGCCTATTTAACTGGGTAAATAACAATAAAAACTTGTAAAACACAATGAGATATCCATGATAAATCAAAAAGCTTAAGTAAGCTTGTAAGATATAAGAAATATTTATTATCAGTTTATAAAGCCACCTTCCTGAAGCATTAACTAGCAAATTTTTTTCTTCAGCTCCACCAAAGACCAAACGACCCGGTCGTCGCCCCCGCCCTAAACCTACACGTAGCCCAGAAGTGCCCAAGTCCAAACCTGGTAAATGAGACTTTCAGGGCTCCAGTTGACACAGAAAGTGGAATATGTTAGCTTTTAACTCAGTAACTACTGGCTACCTGAGCAGTTGGGTTTTAGGAACCAATAATAGTTAATTTTCATATTTGAACATCTATACTTACTTTTTATGTGCATATTACATATAGTATTATATTTCATAAAGTATATTTATTTGTAGTCATTAAATACACATAGTAGAAAGGCCCTCTATTAGGTGAGTTATTAAAATAAGGCCCTTTAAAAATCTTACATTTGATATATATTCATAGAAAATGTATGATAAAACAAGCAGGAGAAATGGAGTAAATGGGGAAAATTTTAAAGGAAAATCATATTCAGAATAACAGTATTTGAATAAGGTAGAGCATAGAGCATCCTAGACTGAGGCATGATGTTCCTTCCTCCTGATGCCACTTTCTGATTTACTTGATGTTCTTTTTTTTTTTTTTTTTTTTTTTTTTTTATTTTTTTTTTTGCTTCTATAGCTCTGGAACCAGCTACAGTATACCCGGAGTCCCTGGTACCCAGAATCGGTAATTCTACCCCTTTCAAGTGCTTTCACAGGTTGTCACTTTTGCTTTTTCCAACTCCACCCCAGGCATGACTGCATTTCTACTATTCATTACAATTCCATCCCATGCTTCCTTTCTATTTTCTGTCTGGGTCAGAAAGACCTGAAGATAGGAGAGCTCCACAGAATCTGATGTGCTCATTTAGGGAAGGTCTGTGGTCTTGGACATGACTTGCTGATTCCCCCCTGACTTTCTGTCTTGATCACATGTGTACTGGTATTAAGAAATCTATCAAGTCTTTCTCAGGGACTTCTGTGCTGATTTCAGACTGAAAGAAAATGACAATTTTTTCTTCAGTGCTATGCTGTATTTCATTGCTTTATTTATTCAGCGTGTGAGACTTTCTCTAAAAATCTGCATGAATAATGATTTCTTCAGCTTTTTTTCAGTTTTTCAGTTTCTTTGAAAAATATTTTTGGGTATACTTGGATAATCATAGGTCTTTCTTGGTCTAGGTTCCAATATAAAACTAGTTGTAGTCTTTGAAACTTGAGAATATTAAAAGTCCCAAGTTGATTTTATTTTTTTAGTACTGATGACTATAATTACTTCATTGTAACTTCTCACCATTCACAATCAATTTGTCACTGCTTTGCTTTGCAAACTTCCAACAGCAGCCATGTAATATTTGTTCACTTGTGTAACATCAAGTGTTTATGTATTATTTTCCAGATGTCCTCCTAAGCATTTTTTAACTTTCTTACTATTTTTGTATTGAAGACAACCTACCAAGAAAAGTAGCACTCAAGAACTTCATTGTTTTTGCAACGATTTACAAAGTAAAAAATGTCTTATGGCAGTATTATCATTATTCATTCAAAGATACATTGTAAGTGTTCTTTTAAAGGAAAACTTAAGTTTTTTCCTGAAGGGAAAAATTAATGATGCTTGTGTGTAGCTAAAATGAACACTTATCCTACCCTTCCAGTACAGCATGAATTAATTTTTATATATCCATTAAATTTTTACAGTGTTTTTACTTAACTTATATGTCTTTAATTTTGACAGACACAGCCAGGGGACCATTCTGCTAATTTTTCATACCTTTTTCTTTAGTACCTAAACCATCTAAGAGACCTAAAACTTCACACAGATCAGATGTACCCCAAATCAAGCCTGGTAATCATTACTTTCAATACCTTGACCTATTAGAAAAAAAACTCTGTTTAAGTAACAATCAAATTCACACTTACAATTAATCTATGGCATTAATTATAGCACCCTTTTTTCTTCAGATTCAAAGCCACCAGTTCAATTACTTCCTAAACCCCAAATCACAGCAAATCCAGATATGCCAGCAACAAAATCCAGTAAACAATTTCCAGTGCTTTAGCTTAACAAAGTTTTTTGATTTAGAAATATTATTGAAATTGTTGCTGTAGGTGTTTGCACATTATATAAAGCATAGAAACCCAAGTGCCATGATTTTGTTGATTATCTTCTCAAAATTGCTGCACTAATGTTTAATTGCTAATTAAATAAATCAATGCATGGATAAAAAATTAGTAAATGTTAGACCTCATTATCTGATAGATATGACAGATTCCTTTTTTGTTTTGGTTTTCTAGTTGTTGGTGGTGATGGTGTTTAGTGGGTTGTTTTGTTTTGTGACAAAGTTTCAGTCTGTATCCCAGACTGGTGAACTCCAAGTGATTCTCCTACCTCAGACTCATCAGTGCTGGGATTACAGGAGTGTGCTACATGCCCAGCTCCATTTTCTTAAAGCATTTTACATCTTGTATTGTGAACTTGTAATGATTAGGAGGTTTGATTTCTCTGTGTATGGAAAATATTTTAAAGTGGTTTGGCAATCACTATTAGATGGTACATACAAAAGGCTGACCCTGTGTTCTTCCTTTGTAGACTGGCTTCCTTTAAAATACCCAATTAAATATTAAACAATAATTATTAAGTGACTGGGATATTTATATAAGAATTCTGAAAACTCCAATATTTTGTAGTTAATTTTTTTGTTTTTATTTTAAAGTTCTAATTTGCTAAGACAGCATCTCTCATAATAAATAAGCCTACTGAGAAGTCAGTTTATACAATGTGGAATGAGCCAAGTTCTGTATTCTCTAAATTAAACATTAATGAGTACTCAAGAGTTACTGACTGTTCCTTTTCTGTTGGTTTAAATGATGGAGCCTTTGAGCTGGTTACATTTGAGACTGAAGCTCTGTCCTTAACTATAGGTAAGAAGGCCTTCTTGGGCTAGAATTCCCTGAGCTCGCCCTTCTCATCTCTTTCATTGTTGTCTGTCTTTTCTTATGTTGCACAACTGGTATTCAGCCTCTTTTCCATTTATTTTCAAAAAATTATTTACTATATTCATCAGAGGCCATTTTAACATCAAGTTAGGCATTCTTACATTTGCTTAGCTTCTAACACCTGAATGTTATTCTTTCCTCAGTCACCTTCAGAGACATTCATATTGCTTCATGCTATTTAAAAAGTCTCAAGTGCTGTGTCCATCTCTTCTTTTTTGACTAGAAAGTTGTGCTTGTATGTGGGTACTGTTTATAGATACACGGGGAAGCAAAGAAAAAGCTTGTTGGAGCTTATTCTCTGTGTGTTTGTTTATAAGGAGTTTGTGATGATGGCACATTATTGTCTCTGTCTTGTGAAACTTCTTTCTTCCTGAGTTCCATGCTATTCAAATGCGGTTGAACTTTTCTGTTGATAAATTTATCTTGTGACAAAGTTTCAAACAAAATAGGGATTTCATATTTCTGTTTGAAAGCAAATCAGTTATAAATATAGTTTTCACCTGTTGTTCTGAGTTCTTCCTTCTCCTCTGCCATTAATTCTTGAATATTAAATCAGCTTTGTGCTGTGACATTTAATCAGGAAGAGTCAGACTCTGTGTAAATGCTTAAAGGATATTTGATGATGAGAAATTTGAATGTTATATGTGGTCTTCTAGTTTTAATAAAAAATAAATGGAGACACTAATATCAAAGTTGTAATTCTTATTGAATTTCATATCTGTGTGTAATTATTCAGAATAGTGTAGAAATATAAAAATCCTATTTACTTAGGCAAAAACTTGCATTATTACTTCACAAACTTTTTTCTTAATCATCTCCATTCCTAACTTAAATAATTATCTCCTAAAAATTCCATTTGAAATGGAGGGATAAATAAGGAAAAATAGTAAGAAGCAACTTTACATTTATTTTGATGAAAAAGCACAAATTTACCTTTCACCATTGTTCCATAGATTCAGTAAATACACTGATTAACGACATTTTCTGATACTCCTCACAACTAATGCAGCTTTAAAAAAATTAATGAATAAAAATCCTGTCAGATAGCTATAGGTTTTAATATACTTTTTTCAGAGTAATTTCATCACAGAAAAATACTTTTTATATAACATACCTATCTTATAAGACAAATGGATGCAACATTATGGCCAGTTAGTGGACATAACAAATATTCCCAGAGTTCAGAAATGCTTTTCAAATATTATAGACTTAAGAAGATTCAACTTTAACATAAATTTTAAAAATTTCTTAGTCTTTGTCATTTACTGTATTGCTTTTCATTAGTTCCTACCACAGATATTGAACCAGTAATTCTGAGAACTGAGACTCCAGTGACAACATTAGGTAATAACATTTTATGTCTTCAAGCACCTGCATTTTCTACTCATTGTTTGTTCTGTCGCTATTTTGTAGAGTTAAAGGGTATTTTTCTTCATAAGATTTTTCTCCTCATTCTGTTATTATCCTTTCATCATTCAACTATATTCCCCATTTTAAATGTATTATGGAAGTGCTGAAAACTGGTTACTTGCTTATGAAGCTGTATTCAGCTGGTATTAAGAGTTTCCCATGTTATCCAGCTTTATTAATGTTTTACAGAGCCCATGGGTCTACTCAAGTAGTGTTTGAAGTATTAAAGCTGAATTTCAAATACAATTAGGAATGTCTGTCCCGTAAACATGAATTATAATTCTGTGGGCTTCTGACTTTCTGTTGTTTTAGGATGTGTGGGAGATTTTTATTATGCAGTAATGATTTCAGGAAATGAAATATGCTTATTTTAATAATTTTTTTGGCTTTATGTCAAACCAACTAATTTCTAAATACAATCTTCAAAAAGCAGGTGATCCAGTGTTGTGTCTTGATGTGATATTGACAAGTTGTATGCTTGAATTTCTTAGTGTCTTGACCATTTGTGATAACCTGATACCAGCAAATAGTAATAAAGTTTTCAGAACAATAAAAATTATGTGTTTGTCATTCTCAAAAGAACTGTCAGTAGAGCCCCCCAAAAGTCTTTATGTACATGCAGATGACCAGATGGAAATTTCAATCCAAAATGACATATTTTTGTTAAGTCTCATGAAAAAGTCGGCAAAATTTTGAAAACCTAACATCACATGTAACTCTTTCTTTAGCTTCTAGTGTTCTGAAACTACAATAATCAGTTTCCTTTCTTTAGCTCCAAAAATAACACAACGAGCAAGAACTCGTCGTCCGCGGCCCAAACATAAAAGCACATTAAACCCAAAGATACCTCAGACTAAACCAGGTAAATATTATGTTGTTTATATTGTGATGGAAGTTGAATAAGCCATTTAATAACTCATATGATCTTTAAGGGTGAAGGCCCAAGGCAGGGATGGAGAATGTTTTAGCACTTTCAATGATACAAACATCCCACTGCAGTACATGTGTCAGAGGTTCACCAGCACTGGCCAAAGACTTTAACACTCTCATGTTGTTTGCAGGAGGATTTCCTTGTTATCTGAGCATTTTATTTATTTTACTGACATTCAGCTACATTTTGCTTTTCAGAAAACTTATCTAGTTAGATATCTAGTTAACAAATTTAATTCAAGTGGTCGTGACTTTTTATTAGATACTACATTAGAGATAAATTACTTAAGAAAGAAAGCTATTCTTGGAGACTTCATGAATAGATGTTGGCAAAAGCAAATATTTACATATTGTTTTACCAACTGTTAAGCATATAGTTAATGCTTAGTGAAGCAAAAATTCCATGGGCTGACATATGTAATGTGGACCTTGAAATCTGAAGAGTTTGTAGATTTGTTACCAGTATGAGCAGAAATTGTATAAACAAAGAGGAAGGTGCTATGTGTGTAGGTGACAGTATGCTGCAAATTATAAGTTCAACCTGGTTGTGAGGAAGGTAATGTTTGATCGGCTCAGCAGGGATGCTTTTAGAAAGCCCAGGTGGAGGACCTTGAATGCCTGCCTTTAATGATTGCATTTGAGCCACAACATGCACTCCTGTTGTTCAGAGTCTGGTCTTTTCCGTCCTGATAGCAGGCAAATGCACTAACAAGTTCTGTGGACTAAGTGACCTCTGTATTTACCTCTTTGTAGACCTTCTTTAGACCAAGATATCATTCTTTTTCCAAAGTGGACTCTCAACAACAACAACAACAAAAGCATTGTTTATTTTGGTTATTCACCATTATGTCTGCTGAAATATATCAACAATTGCACTTATCATGACCTAGGCTTTGTTCTCCATTCTGTAGTGTTGTATTTTATACTTTCATGTTCTTTGCTCATAATTGTCAAACATGATGTTATTAGGCGCCTAAAGAGTTTTCTGAGCAGGATTTTCTATTGTACTATCAGATCATATTTTTAAAAAGTAAAAGTTGTAGCTAACCATGTAAAAATTTTAGAGATATAAGCACGTTTTTTAAATAAATATCTATGCATTCTCACTTAAAAACTTTGAAGGGCTGAGGATGTAGCTCTGTGGTAGAGCATTTACCTAGCATACATGAGGACACGGGTGCAAACCCTGGTGCCAAGAAAAAAGAAAGAAAGAAGAAAAAGACTTTTATATTTTGCTTTCTGGCTATAGAAACAATACTAGACTACCAAAGTTCATTTTTAAGAAAATTTGATGGATTTTCTCACGTGTTTGACATTTTCTTTTAAAAATTGCTCATGGTCATTTCTTACACCAGATTTTGGACCTGTTACTCCTGGACCACCTTTAGGTAATGAATCTCTATGTCCTTTAACACGTACTTGTTTTTATTCATTGTCAAGCTTTCCTGTGATTCTGAGTAGGTGATTGTGCCATCCTCCGTTCTCATCCTATTACACAATTCATTTTAAAATATTCTTCCTTTTTATAAAAATGTGCCTGGACCTAACTCAATACAGCTATATCCCAGTTTGAGATTGTGTCATGTCAATCTGAGTCCCTAAACAGTACTGTTAGAGCCAAAATCCAAGTATGTGTTCTCATATGCCTCTCATTTAGACTGCAAATTCAATGCCAGTTATACCATGCAATTTCTTCAAGCGGTTAATTTCATATATTTCAAGTTCTTGATAATCACTTTGGCTTTTCTGATGTTTTAGTGAATTTCATAGACTTATTCTAGCAAATAACCAAGTGAAAATTGTGCCCAGGCCTAGTCATTTTAAAATATAGGTGAATACTATAAAGTTGGTTTGAATTATTCTCACATCATTAGAGTTTGTAACCAGTTTTGAGTTAGGAAAACTTTTAAGAAAATAATGATAGTCCCTAAGTTTCTTAAACATAATCATATGTGTAATTTTAGTCCCTGGAGAACTGTCACTTATCAGTATCATTATACTAAAGAGAGCATTTTAAACTAAATGACAAAGTTTTCTCAACTCAAACTCTAACAAGTTGTAGAAAACTTGGAACCATATCATAGTCCTCCTAGTTACTGTTTATGGAGTCACCAGCACCATATTAACCCTAAATTTTCTTCCTTCAGCTCCAACAAAAAGAACCCACCATCCACATCCCATACCTAAACCCACGCACCATCCAGAAGTACTTCAGACAATACTGGGTAAATATGTGCTATCCACTTTAAAGAATCTGTTCAGTCTGTCCGAGTTGGAACCCTAAATTCATGACCACAAAATTCATTAGGACATATATTTCACATGGGGGAAATGTGCCCCATATATTTCCTGGAAGTAAAAGCTGCTCATTAGTGAAGAGAACATGAGATGGCCAAGGGATTCATGTTTCCTTCGGTGGAAACTTCTCTCTATCAATAGCCATGTTATTCACTTTTCTTACTATTAAATTCCATCTCTGTCTTAAAGTAAAGGTGCTCAGAGTAGTATTGAAGCAATTTAATCAGTTCAAGTTAATTACTTTTAAAGTCTTTTCTAATTCCCCAAACTATATGAGCCTATGTATCAGAAACTGGAGGTATGTTTTATTTACCAAATAGTTTATACTGCAATAGTAAATAAAAGCTGTTGTTGCATAAACAGACAGAAATATAAGGCAGCATGTTCATGCAAATATAAAATAATTTCTTTAATGGTATGATGCTACATGCTAGGAACATGGTGAATATTTAGAAGGGAAATATATCCAGGATAATTGGGAAGTAATCAATGTACAATATGAATAAATGGAGGGATTAAGGAACAAAGGCTGAGAAAAAAGCAGCGTATTGAAGGTGACTCCCCAGACAAGAGGGTAACTTACTTATGTGCTCCTGTTTAATGGCCCCATAGGAAGAATAAAAGGGGTCTTGGAGCCTAAATTTGATTCACTATGCTTTAGTGTTTCTACTTCTGAGCGGAACATGATTTTTCTGTCCTTTTAACTGAAAATATCCAGCCCAATGCTGACAAAAACTGAGAGGTTGCTCTTCTTGTTAGGTAGGGATGTATTCTCAAAGAACTTAAAGGGTATAGTCTCAGCTGCCTTTTGACAGTTACTATATGTGATGGAAATATCCTAGTATGACACCCAACAATTCCTTCCTTTTAGTGTTAATGCCTTTTTATAATTCATAATCTTCATTCATATTCTCTCTCTCTCTCTCTCTCTCTCTCTCTCTCTGCTAGCATGGCAGACACATAATGGTGTGGCAGCCTATCACCTGTTGCTTTTTCTGTTAGTTAGAGGTAAATCACAGGTTCAGCACAAAGTCAAGTGGTGGGGTGGGGTTAATTACACAAAGGTGTTAATACCAGGGAAAAGAATTATTGGTACTCACCATAGTCTGTCTATTAGACTACATTTATGTTCAAATACCTTCACTGTTTATTGCATTTGCCATCTTGATTACTGCCAATAGTTGATTTTTTGGTTTTGGCTTGTACAAAAGTGCTAATGTCTTTGTCACAATCTTTGTCACATAATAATGAAACAGATTTTCATTATTAGAATGCAGAATTGTTCATGCTAGATCAAATCAAATAATTAACCAACCATGAGATTTTAGAGTGGCCCCAAGGACATGCTCAGTGGTCTAAGTCTATGACTGATCATATTCTGAATAAAATGCGTACCTGATCAGTTTGGTGATATAGTCAAATGAATAAGTACATTTACTTTCTCTGCAGTTATGAATATTAAAAATAAACTTTGAAGTCTTATAAACCTTATTTTCACTAGTAGGATTTATTTTCTGAAACTCCAAGCACTCACAAGATGTCTTTGGTTTTTATTACTTCTGATCAGTTCCTGCCACAATTGCCGAACCAGTTATTCTTAGAACCAAGGCTCCAGGAACACTAGGTAATGATATGTGTGCATTAGCATCTGCATTTCCTACCATTTCATCAGCATCATACCATGCTTCTTACACTTCACAAGGCTTCTGTGTCATCCCCTGCTGTTCAATTCATATGTTAAAATAATATTTTATTTTTAGTGATCCAAGCATGAACTTACTTTTTCATCTGCAATATAATGTCTTTGAATTTGTGGTGTCTGCTCCCATGTGACATTTTAATCATCACATTATTTGTTACTGAGTTTCAAACAATCAGTTGTGGGGGTAGGGTGTCTATGCCTCATCTAGGGTAAGTAATTGGCACAGCTATTACAGTGTAGCAGTTATTTTGCAGATCTAAATTGCTATATTTGTACCATCTGCTCGGTTTTGTTTTACCGTTTTAGATAATGACAAAGTTTTATTTAAGGAAGAGTAAAGCAGAAAATATTCCTTGGGCTGCTGAATTTAAATTATAAGTATCACCATTAGTATGAAATCTCTCTACATGCCTGCACACATCCAATAATTCAGCAAGATTTTGGAACTTTTCAATGTTCAGAAATCCCTGTGAGAATAGGTTTGAAATATTCTTGCTATATCAACTCAGGTTCTCTGATTTTTGTTTTTTAGAAAATGCAAATAATTTGCAGATCACTTACAAAATAGGGGAAAATATTTCAAGTGAAAAAAAATTTTCTGAGACTCAAGAAATTAGAACAAGTATAGGAAGCCACAGTATCTGAAATCCAAAACACTATTAACCTGAGGTTTCTTCCTTTAGCTCCCAAAATGCCTCAAAAAGCACACTGTCCACATCACAAACCTAAAAACACTTAGAGTACTGAAACACTTCAAACAGAACCAGGTAAATGTGTGGGACCTGGTTTAGGAATCTCAGTAGCACATCCTAGGGGCTCACAGAAAGTACAGTAGCAAGTCAGGAGCAGTGGCTGGTTTCATATTGGACCAGATAATCAGAAAGAGGGCAGGGGAGATGGAGTGGTACCCAATTTCCATATTCTCTATGAATTAAATATTCTCTCCAATATTAATTTAATTTACTGCTCACTCAATTCTATTCACCCCTTAAATACTGGATATTGTGTGGTAAACTGAAACAACTAGAGCATGTAGGTGTCTTTGTAACAATGGGAAATTATTTCTTGGTAATTCTAGTCATGTGAGTCCTAGTAAGTATCCAGATTAGGCACTGGTAAATGTATTCTGTAACAGTGACCAAAAGTAGGTATTTCAGGCTTTGTCAGCTGTAAAGTCTCTGTTGCACATTCTTCTTTGGGTTATTTTTATTTTTTCCAAGTATTTACAAATAGAAAAAATAATAGAAGGAATCCTTCTGGAGTGGAGGTAATCTGAAAGCTTAGAATGGCAGGAAATGTATGAGAGAGTTAGAGGAGGTGGCATTTCATTCACCAGTGGAAGCTTTCAGGCTTCTAGGTATTGATTAGAACATTTTAGTGAAGGTGCTGTAGCTAAATAGCCGCAGGACTAGATGAGAAGTTTGAATGTTGAAATAATTAGGAGTTTGGGTTACATCTAAGAATCCATACACAGTCAGGATTTCTCAGGGTATTGGACAGAGAGATGCCCTCTTATCCTGCTCACTTAAGTAAGGGCTAGCGGCCCTTTCCAGAGATGAGTTTTTGGTAAGATGAGCATGATCCATTTAGTACCTTTGTTCATTATAATGACGTACTTGACAGAAGCTACTTAGAAGGAAGAGGTTTATCTAGCTCATGGAATTGAAGGTTCACAATCCAAATGGCATAGTATGGTTTCTGTGGTGAGGGGTGCTCCTTGGCTGCATTACTTCATGGCACAGATAGCAGTGGCAAGTACATGTGCAGGAGCAAGTGATTATATCTCAAACCAGAGGCAGAGTGTGTGAAAGGAGCCAATGTTGCTTCTTTTATAATACTCCTCTCTCAAGGACTCAAGGGATTGCACAAGAACATCCAGGGTGTAGTACAAACTATCTCTCACCTCCGATGACCTAAAGACTTCCAAAGGTCCCACCATTTCTTAACAGCATCACCTCACAGAGCATAACTTTAATCACAGTGGACCCCTACAGGACTACACCATAGCGGTTTGTATTAGTTAGATTTCCAGTCATCAAAGGTAAAAAAAGTTTACATGGATATTATTGTTACAGAGTTAATGACAATCCCTCTCAAGGGATGACCATCTACAGACAATGGTGCTGTGTTCCCTCAGTTCAGGTTACAAACCGCATTTGTTTTGTGCTAGAATTCTTTGCAAGTGAATGTTCTGAGTTTTGATGAATTTTAATGTTTTTTGGTTTGATTTGTTATTTTTGACCAGTTCCTACTGCAGTCCTTGAACAAGTTACTCCTGTAAAAGAGGCTCCAGAAGCAGCAATTGGTAATGCCACTTGCCTACCTCCAGCAAACATTTTCTCTACTACTGTCAAACTTATTCTCTGCTGCCATCTAATTTATTTTTCATTTTATGAGAGTTGAACATACAAACAGAGCATATTGCCTCTTGTTTGTAAAAGAGGCATGCATCAATCTAGTTTGTGATATCATCTGCATTGTAACTTAAATTTTTTTCATATTACTTTATGTTGTTGGTTTAACCAGAATTAATTATTAGAGTAAAATTAATATATCCTTAGGAGTATCTGACTATGATATATGCAAAATAAGCTACTACAATAGGAAAGTTTCTCTGCTCATCCTTTTTAATCTAGATTTTTCTTCTTTGTTAACATTTGGGTAGTGGATTTTAGTGAATTAAATAACTGATATTTATGATACAGCTCAATAGATTTAAATAACAAACCACATCATAATGTGCAACTGGCTCCCCCTCCCTCTCCACCATAGTTTAGATGACTCTCAAGCTTTCTAATCAGGTCAAAGAACTCCAGGAGAATATGACTTATAGAAAATATCAATCTGGGCCATGGATTTAGCTCAGTGATGCCACTACCTGCTTTGCAAACACAAGGTCCCAAGTTCAATCCCTGGTACAAAAAAAAAAAAAGAAAAAGAAAATTCCAATCTTGACCAATCTTGACTTTCTGAATTAATAACTTTATTTTGTAGGGCAGTTTTGCCCCAAAGTGTTTTCAATAACAAAAGTAGATGCACTAACATATTAGGGATAAAACATTTGCACTATAAAAATACATTTCTTGAAACTCAAGAAAATTTGTTAGGGTTTGGAAAACTTGCAGATCGTTCAAACTCTATAATCTGCAGAACCAGAAGCTTGAAAATAACTAAAAGTTATTTTTTCTTTTTACTTTGAAAAAATGTCCCAAAGGACACAAACATAAATTTACAAACACTCAAAGTCCAGATGTACCTTAGAGCGCACCAATAAATACAGCATCTTTGGTTAAGGACCTGGTAGCCAGACATTGGTGAAAAATCTAACATTCCTCCTAGTGATGGAATCCTGAGGGTCTATTATGTGCTCGTATTTGGAAAGGAGTTTATGATTTAAAAGGATGTGTACAATCTTTCCTCTAACAAGAGGTGGTAGGAAAGATGTTTTGCTACTCAGTCAGCCAGGTTGTTGAATAATTTTTAGTCATTTTTGCTGTTTGGATATTTTAAAACTTTTTCTGCAAACATAAGTTGATAATTCTAGTATATGCCATCTTTATTTAGAGTCTGAACAAATGTAAGTTAGTATTTCATTTGCTTCTTGAGAAAGGTTAGAAACACATTTAAGTACACATGTAAAAATGTCCTGGTTAAAGTCTTTCATATTGGATTTAGATGACCAAGCATTGTAATTAGAGACAAGTGTTTGCATGTAGTAATGCTAAATGAGACCAAAGATGATGATGAGCTTATGAGATGGAATACCTAACTATACACCCTCTCTATATTAATACATATATATCTCCTAAATTTATATATATACGTATTATTATTATTACTATTATTATTATTATTTGAGGCAATATTTCACTGGCATAGTTCATTTTGACGTGAATGTTATTGCTCCATCTATTTATCATCTATATATATAGGTATGTTTTTAAAAAACTCCAAAACTCTTTTATTTTGTTACTTCAGTTCCTGGTACAGATGCTGAACCTGTTACAGAACTTGAACCTGTTACTTTTAGAACTGAGACCTCTGAGGTGACATTAGGTAACAAGCCTGTGCTCCTTGACAAATGCTTTTGCTGCTCATTGTATTTCAGTCTCTGTCCTTATTACATGTCTTTTCCTCCTGTCGAGATGATTTCTATCATCCACTGCTGCCATTTAATTACTTTTGTCATCTGAAAAGTTTGAAGTATCTTAAAAGCAAGTTTTTTTTTTTTAATAAGAGACAGGGCCACGAATTTAGTTCAAGAATTAAATGGCCAGGTAGTATGTTTGAAATTGTTCAGCTACCTTGCACTTCATGTAGCAGTTTTCTGTGTTACAGCTGAGTTTAAAACAAATTAGGACCTATTTCTTACCTAGGGTGATCAGCAGTGAAGCTCCTCTTACGCTCCTTTATACATCTATGTTTCTATATCTTTTTTAAAAAACCATTTGCATAGTATTTTTGCTTCTTACTTGGTGCTCTAAGTATTGGTATATTTTATTACTAATTTAACAATTAGGAAATTACCCAAATCTGAAATCTTAAATTATAAGCCTCCTTCTTAGCATGAGCCAAATTTCATCTCTCCTTTCATTCACTACTCTCAATTTTTTACCAAGCAAGAAAGTTCTAAATTCTATTTCTCAAAATAGCTACTAATCTTCACGTCTTGAGTGAATATGTAAACTGTTTACATGAGCATTAATACCAAGAGAAGTATTAATGATAAAAAGACACATTGGAATAAAAAGAGTGAAGAAGAAAAACTAAAATAAAAATTTCCTAGAACTCTAGAAAATTTGAAAAGTTTTAGAGAAACCTCTCCTCACTATCCAGAGGCACAAGACCTAGAATAAAAAAGTCTTTTCTTTCTTCAGCTACCAAAATAACAAAAAGAACCCGTCGTCCACGACCCAGACCTAAAACCACACCAAGACCTCAAGCACCTCAGACCAAGCTGGGTAAATTTGTAATTACTTGGGATAAGAGTGAATGTTGCCAGTCTGCCTTAATGAGAACCCAAAGCAGTGTCAGTCATGGGTGGTTACAGTTCTTATTCTCCCTGAATGTGGGAACATGCACATCATCTGCTCTGCCTGCCTTTAAGGAGAACATGACTGGGGAGCCAGCTGGTGCCATAAAACTTTATTCTTACTATGTGAGACTTTTCTTTGAAACTACATATCTAGTACATTTCTTAAGATCAAATTATATCCAAATCTTAAATTGAAAGTTCTTTAGCAGAGTCAGTTTAAATTATAAGTTCTTTGCATATTCCCAGACCACTTTGGCAACTACGGGTGATATGCCAACTGTGGATTTGTTTTATTTATAAAACAGTGGAATTGAGGATGTGCTTAAAACAAGCATAAGGTAACAATCTAGCAAAGGAAAAGATCGAGGTTGGCTGAATTTGGACCTTGGAACTTCTGAAGGATTAGGATCAATGGAGATAAAAATGAACCAAATCAGGAGGACTGGATGTCTGTGGTAGTCAGAATATGGTGGTTAATGGTATATTTGGAAGTATCCATCAAGCCAGTTGAAAAAGGATTTCTTAATTTGATTCAGAGACTTAGAAGATGATACAGAGACAGCTGTAGCCTTTGAATTCTACTTTTGCTGGGCTTGGGGCAGACAGATGCTCTTCTGGGTTTTATAGCCTAGTGACCACTTTTATCCTGCTCTCTTATGAGCCATGATTTTACCAACAGCCTCAGACTCTTTCTATAAATGAGTTCTTGGCAAGATCAACACAGGTCACTTTGATGAATAATTTTTATATTTGTTTCAAATGAATAAACTGCCTACTGCATTTATGTTTACTTAAATATAGTTCTGGTATATTCTTCTTCCATACAAGAACAAGGCAATTATGTTTTCAAACATAATTTAATTATATATTAAGCAAATGTATTAAAATACTTGCCAGTGCAGAGTTTTCCATATCCATTAGAATTTATTAGTTAAAAACTTAGGAGAGTTTTATGTTTACTTAAGGTAATTCAAAGCTAAGCCTAAGACCAACCATGACTAAAATTTGGCCAAACCTTCAAAGAATAAATAGATACTCTTTTCCTTAGTTGAAGAGTTAATTTGCTTTTCTTTTTTCTTTATAAGAGTTAGTATATCAGGGCTGGGGATTTAGCTCAGTAGTTCCACTGCCTACCTCATAAGTGCAAGGTCCCGAGTTCCATCCCCAGTACCAAAAAAAAACAACGAACAAACATAAAAGAGTTAATATACCAGTAAGATTTGCTTGGATATGAATGTTCTGACATATCTTTTTAAATTTATTTGATTTACTGTGTTGTTTTTTGTCAGTTCCTACTATAGTTATTGAACCTGTCACTCTTAAACCAGAGGCTGCAGGAACAACATTAGGTAATGTTGATGCACTGTATTTTCAATAATCCTTGTCTTCTTATTGTAAAGCCTCGACTTTCATCTTGTCTCATTTGTCAACAGTGTCATTCTTTGTGGCCATTTAATTATATTCTTTTAAAAAATATGAAGACTCTTCAATTATTCATTATTTTAATGGATCCAGTCATGCATAATCTGCTTTAGATCATTTGTTTTTCATATAACCCTCTTATAAGTCTCTTGTGTCACTCTGAGTTTTGTTCAGTGTTTGTCTTAAAGCTGTGTTTAAAATATATCAAAGGTCTCTATCACTCATCTCAACAGATAGTCACCAAAAATGTTTATAAAACGTGGAGGATCCATTAAACACCTGCATTTCACCTTTTCCCCTCTAAATATATGTTATTGTTTCATTTCTGTTTTGGTAGTAGTATGTTCTTTTTTAATGGTTACATAGAAAATAGGTTAAAGATTAAATTATAAATCACAGATATAGTGTCCTTCACTATCCATTCAAATTTAGAAGTGGTTCATAGCCATTTTGGTGCCAATCAAGTTGCCTTGTGAGATTTTGATTGTAATTACCAATCTTTATTTCTTGAATTAAAAAGGTGATTTTTATCCTTAAGAAATTTCCTATGATGAAAGAAGATATATAATGAGTAAACATGACAGAAATATAATACTAAAAATGGAAATCTCTAAGAAGATATAAATTCTCGAGTCATATTTTTACCTCCCATAACTTCCAGAATCATAGATAGTGTTAAGTATGTTGTAACACAAAACATTCTTCCTTCAGCTCCCAAACCATCACAACGGACACATCACCCATGTCCCAGACCAAAACCCATACCAAGTCTTGAAGCACCTGAGTCTAAACCAGGTAAACCCTGCAGTTTTAGCATAAAGAGTCTCAGCAGTCTAACCTAGCAAAACCTCAAATGTATCCTAGTGGCTGGAAGTAAAGAGTTCAGCCCTGTGAGAGTTAAATACAATTCATGTGCAGCAGCAATTCCCACAGTGTAGATGTTAAGAGGAACACAGCCTAGGGAGATCTGCGGGGCAACTAAGTGCCTTAAGTTTCCTAGCTACAATCTTCTATGTCACTGTGTATCTTAATAACTTCCATTTAACTCTTGAAAATAAAACTTCTTTAGAAAAATTGGGCCCTTTTAGTTCAAACAAAAAAAGATTAAGTGTCTTCACTATCCTCTAAACCTAACACTTTTAAGTTATACTTCAGATGTAGGAGAAATGTTTTGGTCCTCACACTGCAAGACGGTTGAGAACAGAAACCTTTTCTTTAGAAATGATGTAGAAGGTGGCATTCAGCAGCATCTGTGTAAATACAAGGTTGATGTTTGGATGCCACCAAAAAATTGTGTTACATAAATATTTGGAGCAGGGAAATAAAGGAGTGGAGTCTTGAAATCACTGTAGGACATGGATGAGTAGAAAGGTGCAAAGAATAAAACCAGAGAAATAAGTGGAAATAAACCAGAGAAGGCCAGCTAGAATACTAATACAGTGAATGTCTTACTTCAAGGTGTTTTCAAGATCTTTCTGTATCTCAGTGGGTCCATGGACATCCAAGGTGGAGATTCTTAGGTGCTTGATGAAGCTATTGAAATTTGATCTGATAAACACCAGCAAGTTCTTTCCCCAATGAAGGCACAGTCTTTCTTTTATTACAACAGAGGGATGACCTTCTTAATTCATTATGCTGAGACCCCCATCTCTTTCCAGAGATAAGTTCTTAGCAGTATCCACACAGTCCATTTTGGATTATTAATTAAATAATCAAAAAAGGAACAATAAGGAAATAGGTAACTGACAGGTATGACCAAATTTAAGGAAACACACTACTCTTTTTAGTAATTTCTAAAAGTTGTTATATAGTTTCAGAAACTATGTTACATCAGAAAGATTCATTTTGGATAAATTTGATGTTTTATTCATTAAAATAATCATTTTATTTACTTTAATAGTTTGGCCAGTTCCTACTGCAGGGCTTGAAACTGTGACACTCAGAACTGAGACCTGGGTAACAACACAAGGTAACATGTTGAGATCTTCAGCAAATACTCTTCTTTCTCCTTGCCATAAACATTGCAGCCATCTCATAGCCACAGGCTCTTCTAATTAATTAGACTAAGATATTGTCCTCTATGATCATTCCATTATTTTCTAGACTCATACATGAATTCAACTCAGGTCATCTTTTGGACACGTGAAGTTATTTTGTCATCTTGTGTGTTTGTTAACTAGTATTTTGTTAAAGGTGACTTTAGAAAGGTATTGTCTTGACTCTAACAATTATTATGGTAGAAGAAAGTTTCCTTGTGAATCTAAAGTTCTACTGTTTAATTATTGTTTATTCATACATTTATATTATCTATGTGATGTTTGTTCTTAGTTTTTCGTATTATTTTAGGAAACTATCAAAGAACTTGTAACCAACCATCACTACCACTATGATATTTTAGCAGTGATTTCCAATCTTTTTATTCTGTATTTATTACTCTTTACTTCTTGAATTAAACATTCCATTATATATACATGACTCTTCCTCCCAATGGACTCTCAATTATAAAAAGAAACAGGCTATTGTAATGATGAAAGTTTCAAATTAAAAAGAAAAATATCCTAAAATATGAGAAACATCTAGTAAATTTAGAGAACAAGGAGCCATGGGTCTTTCTACTCTATAACTGACTGTAATAATTCAGCAATAACAAGGTTTTCTTTCCTCAGCTCCTAAAACATCCAAAAGGACTCGTCGTCCACGTCCCAAACCTAAAACCACACCAAGTCCTAAGACTTTTCAAATCAAACCCGGTAAATGTAAGTTTCTGCCAAGAGGTACGCGTTGGAGTAGAATCAATCTCTTGGAGTCCATGATCAGTGCCATTGGTGGGAGTGATAGCCTGCATGGGTGAAGGCAAAGTAACCTGATGCTGCTGCCACTGTTGAGTATGCAGGGAAAATACGGTCGGAGACCATTGTGGCAGCTGCATTTTTTGTGCATTCTGCATGAGAATGTTCCTATGCATCTTATTAATTTTACTATCACTCATTTAATTATATTCTTCTCTTAAAGATAAAATGTCAGTGGGCTGGGGATTTAGTTCAGTGGCATTGTGCCTGCTTGCAAGTGCAATGTCCTGAGTTCGATCCCTGATAACCACCCCCCCAAAAAGATAAAATATCAATGTCTTAAATAGAATCAAGTTTTATTTAAAGAAATAAACATTACTTACCTTCCCTCTTCCTACAGGCATATTAACAGCTGTGAGGATGACACATTAGTAGGAGATTTGTGTCTATCTCTCAAACTGTGATATAGTCAAGGTCAAACCTGCCCAAGTATGTAACACACCCAGGTTGAAATAATAGAAACAAGGCACTTGGTGTATGCACTTAAAATGTGATTTTTAGGGTGCTATAAACACCTATGACCTTAAAGAAAGGAAAGTTCATGAATGACAGCAATAAAGAGTTGGCAAAATTGGGTCATAAAATCTTGGTGTTGATACTAAAGGGAAATATAAGACTCAACCAAGGGGCACAAGCTTCTTGAAACAAGTTTAATTCGGCTTCTAAAAAGTAGTGATAGCTATGTTTGGGAAGATTCATACAAGCAATTAAATAAAGTCCTCAAAGCTATGTTTCAGAAAGTTGGATCTGACCCAAAAAGTAATCTTTTTTGGTAATCTTTTCTATCCACCTAGAATACTACATTTTTGTGATTAGAACGAAAAGCTGCCCTTCTGGGTGCCACACACTATGTGGATATCCATTATCTTTGTTGAGCACATTGCCTCAAATGAGATTTCAGCCTGTTTCCAAATATGAATTCTTAACAAGATTAGTGTGATTCACTTTGCTGTGTTTTTTGTTACATCCCCTCTCAAACATAAAGCCTACTTGTGGTACCCAAGCTTATTTAGACACATTATTAAAGCTTCCACCACAGAGCCAATAATTACAGACCAGTTAGATAAGTAAAAGGGGTCATCAAAATATGTGGTGAGTGCTTAAATTTTTAAAATTTTATTACAGTAAAAAACACATTCCTATTGATCCTCCTCACTTTGAATACACTTATACCATCATTCTTTCCAATTTCTAAAGTAGTTCTAGAAGTCCTCTTTTGAGAGTGCCTTTATGAGATGTACTAAAAATATATGGTGAGTGTTGCTCCCATGTGCTGTCCAATGCAAAAGAGAGCTCATGAAGACATTCCAGTGAGTACTTGTCCACCTGTTCACCAAATCTGACATCTGGTGATTTCTGGCTCTGACCTGAAAGTCAAAATGATCATGGAAGATACATATTTTCAATCTTTAAAGGATATTGAGGCAATAATGATAGTGCAACAAAAGACCTGAAAGAGAACTGCAGAACTGCTTAAGAAAGTGGCAAAAACAATGAGATAAGTGTATTCAAAGCAATCCAAAGAGTATTTTGAGAAGAATTAATGGACATGTGTCTTGTACTGAAATAGTTTTTGAAATTAAGTATTCACAATGTTTTTAAATCAACCCTTGTGCATCTTTTGTAAGGTGCTTAATATTTCTAGGTCAGTTTTCTATAATAGTTGTAATCAAGTATTCAGATGCCTAGAAAAATATCACACTGACTTTATTGAGATGCTTCCTGGATTGTGTGGGCTTGAGTTGAGTAGCTCTTAAAAGAATGTTTAAGTAGCAAATATTACATTTCATAAATTTTCTTAAAATTGGTGTATTCTCTTGAAGCAGTATTATGTGGGTCATATTTACTTTGCTGACTTTTCACATATATTTATTTTGTTGCTATTAATTAGTTCCTGCTACAGATCTTGAACCTGGTACTCTTAGAACTGGAGCTCCAGACACCATGGGTAATGAGAATGTGTGTCCTTCAGATGACACTTTTCCTCTTCATTGTCACACAGTTGAATCAGAGATCCTTCATCATCTTAAGACCACTCCACTGACATTCCTTCACAGTCTATCTTGAAATTATGCTAGGCTCTACGTCAAATTATTAGTCGAATTTAAGAGAACAGTACATGAAATAATTTCAGGATATCACAAACTGCTCTTCATTGTGTCCTGTAATCATGGACATTTGTTTAAACAGTACTGACTACTTAAAGCTATGTTTCAAAGTTAAATCTCTATGTGCACTTTATCCTTCACCAAGTGTGAAATACTATGCTTCAGTTCCTTTTTTTTTACAATAGGATTTACATGATATATTTGGTAGATCTGTTGTTGGAGGGAATGATGCTTTTACCAAATTTTCAAATTTTAAAACATGCCAAACTTGGAGCATTTAGTTATAGTTTCCCACAATAAGGGAGATTGCCTTTCCTTCTCTAGCAGCTTTAAAGTGTGTCTTACCTTGACTGAGTCAAGGACACTGATGTTATGATGGCACAGTTCTTCAGTTGTGTTGCTCTTTATGCTTTCAAACAAATGAGCATTTTTTTGTACCCATGATTATTTAAATAGCAGACAAATGAGTAGACAATTACCTCAATCTTTATTAAGCTTTTTTGAGTAAGTCCAAAAATCATACATTACGTTGACATATAAAAACTTGTACAGTTCACTCCCACAACAGCAAGGGCCAGGCAATTAAATATCTAAGAAAATATCTTGAGGAATACATAGTAATATTTAGTTCTGTGCAATGCTGTGTTGCAAATCTACATCATTATCTTAATGTGCATATGGCCATGGTTTGAATAAATCTACAAAGGAGTATCTCTTCTCTCAGTTCTGAAACTAAACTAAATCAATTTGTAAAATTAACCTTACAGTATTTTTTTAAATCTCTGGTTCATTTTATCATTTCTGGCCAGTTCTGACTACAGTCCTTGAACCTGTCTCTCTTATAACCAAGGCTCCAGAAACAACTTTAGGTAATTATGTTCTGGGTTCTTCAGCAATTTTTATCTTGCTCATTTTCAAATTTATTCCATCATCATCCTAACCACTTGGTCATTGGCTTTCTAAGACTGTCTTGTCATCTACTGTTCATCAACTTTATATTGCTTGTTAACAGAAGTTACTTGATGTTTTCAAAAGCTATGCATGCACCTAGAATATCTTTTACTTTATAATCTTACTGAATTCATGTTATATACTTTTGTCTAAACAGTAGTCACAGCTGAAGCTGAATTTCATACACAAGTTGGTATTATCTATATCTTATGTAGACAGATTAAAATGTTTAAAAATTTATGGTACTGTAAATTTCTTGGAGTATTTAAAAGTTTTATTCTAATCTAAGCCCCCTACACTCAATTTGGCCACAGTTTATTTTGAAGTTAGAGATTTATAAACCTTTTTGTTCTTTGATTTAATTTTGTTTGTGAGTTTTCCCTCTCAGAAGAATCTTCGGTATGTACAAAACAACTGACAAAATAGAAGAAAATATTTTAACCTTAAATATACACTAAATCCCAGGGAAATATAACATATCTTAGAAAACACAAAGCTTCTTTACAAAGCCACCTTCACCAGAATAATTCAAAGTTTCTTCCTTCAGCTCTTAAAATACTACGAACACGTCGCCCACGGCCCAGACCTAAGACCACATCCAGTCCTGAAGCATCTCAGACAAAATTGGGTAAATGTGTAATCCCTTAGTTTTAGGAGTGAGTCCTAGAGCCTGTATCAGCAGTACCTTAAACAATGCCCTTGATGGAAGTATAACCATTATTATGTCCTTTAAGAGTCAAGCCATTAGGTATGGTTAACATCTACTTCCTCTATAGAACTGTTCAGAAAAACATGATTTGTGGATACTAGTGATTTAGTTAGAATGAAATTCATTCTCTCTCTTTAAAGATGAGTTTATAGCAATATTGCTATAGGCATTTATGGCTATTTATTGCTATATCTACATCAAAAGATATTTGTTTTAGTCATGATTACATAAAGAGTCATTTTTTTCAACTTTAAGAAATGCAACAAGTTACTTTCATATATATTTGTACACATATTACCTACACAAATTTCCAAAGCAATCTTTTGTATTATGTATAATCAGAAAACAAAATACAAAGGAAAATTTTACGTGGATCATAGTAAACTACAAAGCAGAATTCAAAGGTTATGAATGTCTTCTACAATCAACGATTCTGAATTAACATTACCATCTTGTCAAGAAACAATTACATATTGCTTCCTGTCAGTTCTAAAGTTAAAAATAATTGTTATTTGAGACTCTATTTTGAAAGAAAAGGTTCTTCACATGTGTTTCAACTTTTCTGTGTTCATGTTGTTGCTTTTAATTAGTTCCTATTCCAGGCTTTGAACCTGATATTCATAGTACGGGGGCTCCAGAAACAACATTAGGTAATAATTTTTGTAACTTTCCTTAAATGCTTTTTGCTTACTAATTAAAAATCAGAGTTACTCACTTCCTAAGATTGCTATTGTCACACCATTTCATACTTCATCTTCTTAATAGTCAAAAATCTTAATTTACATTTTACCTGTTGTTTTTAATGGCTACCTTTGGATTCAATGAAATATATCCATGTGCCATGAAACACTCTCTAAAATTGTATCATTGGACTGAGTGTTAAATCTGAGGTCCAAATTTCTCCTTTTTCTTTTAATGCTTTAGATCTGTAGAATTACAACAACTAAGTAACATAAATTTCTTCTGAGTAACTAACTTTCTACAAGATCTGTGTGTTTTCTTATTAGTCTACTTCAAGTAGTAAGGTATCTATTAATAAAGTCAAAGTTTCTCCCTGGACATTCCAGGCTTCTCCATCATCAATAAGTGTAACTACTCTTTCCTTCCACCACACTTTAGCAATGGATCTTAATCTTTATAAAATAGGGGCTCTTTTGAATGTATACACATTAATATTTACTCCTTTAATTAATGTTCTTAGGTGACTTTGGACTCTAAAGGGACCCTCAGTGATACTAAGTAAAAAATTAGATTATTAGTATTTTTAAGTTAAGACGTCAATTTGAGAAAATATAATTTAGAAAATAGGTACACATACAATATTGTTCATGGTCTCTAGACCTATAAACCCTACAATAAACCAAGCTATTCTTTCTTCAATTCTAAAAACATAGAAATGAGAGTTCTATTTGCCACCAAAACTTTAAACTTTCTGAAATCAAGAAAATCTGATTTGTGGTTTAAGGAGTCCCTCCAGCCAATTGCAGTTACCCAACTGTCAGAAAGGACAATGAAGTGTCTTGAACTTCTATGTCCTGTAAGAGAAAAGGCACTGTTAAATTAACAACAATTGTGGAGTTGGCCATGAGATTCACAGTTGAGAGCGATCATGTGGTAGCTAAATTTACCTTGTGCCCTATGTAAGGATTGTCTCTGATGCATCTTTTTTTTTTAAATTTTATTGAGTTTATTGGTACATTTTAGGGATACAGTACAGTTACATTCATTGTTGGGATCATGTACCTTTACATGGCAAGTCTTGATTCTCATTTTTTCCCCTTACCTCTGCTCTCTGATGCATCTTATCCACTTTTTTTACTCCATTTCATTTCTCTTCAGTTGTGCTATTTGCTCTTTTTAGTAGTTACTTTTTTGTTTGTCTGTTTTGGCTCATGTAAATAACCTTTTTCTTTATTCCTAAGTCCCTAACACATGAGCAGTTGAATGGGGTAGGATAAGGAACAAAATAGAGATTAAAAGTAAGTTCATGTTTTGCCTATTAGTGTAACGATTTAACTGTGAAGAAAACCTTTTCCCAAGGTTTTCTTAGATGTAGTTTTCTGAATATGGGGTGCTTTGATCATAAAAGAGCAGCTTGCTTAATTAAGTAGTAAAAACAGAAAATATTTAAGGCAATCAAAAATGACTGTGGCCTGGCAGAGAGTAGTTGTGATTTGAAAAGTGATAACACGTGGAAGGATGGGAGCAGAAAAAATAATAAATCTCAGTGTCTGTTGGAAGTGGTTAAAGAGGGGGAGTCAAACTAGAATATAGAGCAAGCATTCCTAGTTGATATTCAATGCTTTGTTAATATTACCACCATGGGATCAGCTATGGAGAGCTCTTGGAGATCCCTCATGGGAACTAAGATTTAGATTCAGTAGTCTATGGAGCCTAATAAATTTTTTTTTTTTTCAGAGGCTTGCTTTGAATCAGGAGTCAGAAGTTGTTTTTTTTTGTGACAGGTTAGATTGCATATATTTCAGACATTTTCGGCCATTCAGTTTCTGTTACAACTATTTAATGCTACAGTTGTTGTTGGAAGGCCACCGGAGCTGTCATGTATGCACTGGATCACTTTAGTTCATGATATAGTTGTGTTTTGATAAAACTTTATTCGAACTTCACAACATCATCACATTATGAAATATTCTTTTCATTTTTTTATATTGCTTAAAACATGTGAAAACCATTCTTAGCTCACACATCAGGCAGAGGGCTGAATCAGGCAGGATTATAGACTGCTAACTATTTTAAATAATGTACAATTTGCATGTTTCTTGATAACCTTGCAATTTGCAATTTTGAGGATCTATGTTCTTCAACTCATTGATATTTCTCTTTAAAATCTATGAAATAATCATTTATGTTTAGTTTTACAACTTAGACCTTCTACTTTCAGCTCCCACTGAACTGCAAACTCTTATTTTGAAACCAGTGACATCACCAAGCTTAGAAATGGGATACAGTCAACCTGGTAAATAAATTGTTTATCTGTCAGGGCACACTGGGAGCTTCAGAGAACAACATGTGTAATCCTCTAAGTGCTGTAGGTCCAAATATAAAAAAATCCAAAAGAGATATTAATTTTATAGCTCTAAATATTGTAGAATGCTCATTTTATAGTTGCACGTTGGTGTTTAGTAATACATTATATTAATATTAATTGTATTGTACTTATTATACTATTAATTACATTTTATTTAACTGTATAAAAATAATTCTTCCCACTGTTGTATATCATTATAGAGAATGACATCTCTGATTAAGTGGTAATAAATTTTTTAGAAACTTTTTGTCAAAAATTACAAATCTGTAGGTCTCTTTAGTAAGTTAAATTTTTACACTGCCATCTAAAAAGAATGGTAGTTCAATTGTGAGCATCAGGAAGAAGACATTTCCCATTTCAGTTAAGATTAAAAAAAAAAAACCAAAACCTCCACTTTAGCAATGTGAACTCTTCAAAACATACTGCCACTCAAAATTGGAAACAAATTTTTAAAATCAGTATTAGCAAAGCTATTGCTACTTCCTGGGTTTTTTTTAATAAAACATTGGATTCTATTTTTTTCTAGCATAGAATTGTAATTTCTTTCCATTTCTTCTGAGTATTTTAATTCCACAAATAACATTTTGATATAGGTATAAGGTATGGTTATTAATGGTATCTTGCAAGAGTTACATCATGAATTCAATTCAGTTATTGGAGCTTTTCTTAGTGTTAAAACAAGTGTCATTGTTAATATCATAAGAATTAACATTGAACACTTAAAAGTGTAAGGCATGTAAGTACTCAGTTTGTACTGATTTATTTAATGTTCACAACTCATCTTTGATTAATTGTACCATTTTGTGTCTTTTGCTAGTTTCTGATATTCTGGAATCAGTTACATTTAATACCGAGTCAACAAAGGAGACTATAGGTAAAAAATTTCCCCCAGGGGAAGTCAAATATATTTGCTTTTCCATTTCATTGCAAAAATCATCTCTGGATGTCCTCATGCTTTGTGACATGTCATAGCCACTCGCTTCTCACATCTTGCATATGCTCATTCAGTGGGCTTGAAAGTTAGTTACTTTATGCAGCTCATGCCACAAGTATCTGCTATATTGTTGTGCCAATTCCATAATTCCTTCAGTTTTTCTCTCACCGAATGAAAATTTTTAACTTTTTAATATTCTGATCACTCTTTAAATATATGTACATACATGAATATGTGCAAAGATACACATCTGCTACTTCATTGTCATTGCAACTTTAGAATTCATCTTCATGCTTCTTAAGGACACATTCTACATCTCTTTCTCTTACTAGAATACTTATGCAAAAATATGTAAGAAGGTGAAATTACCTGCTTTGCTACAGGTAGTAACTGCTTATAGACTCTGCTGGTTATGTGAGGTGTGTGTATTTTCCCACAACAAATTGCCTTCTCTTCTACTCTACTAAATTATACTATTCTTCATAATCTACCTGAATGTTACTTATATTCAAGAATGTATCTATTCCAGGTAACTAACTTGTGTTTTCAAATTAGATTCAGGGTTCCATGACCTGTCCCTTGGCCTCCCCACCACTAACGACCCATTCGCTGTTTCTTCCCTAGCACCTGCTGAAACAGATTATATATATCCCACTACAAAAATACCTCTCAGGCCAGAGGAGCCAAAGACTGAAGGTGGTAATGTTTTCTTGCTTGGATTCATTCATTCATTCACCTCATTTTAATTAGTATTTGTTACATCTGTGGACTATGAATGCCTACACTGTGATGCTTGATCTAAAACTAAAGAGCTGTGACTTCCAACACTCTTGGATTCTTTTTTTTTTCTTTCTCTCTCATTGAGTCTATTGGTAAATTTTAGGTATACAGTACAGTTACATTCATCATTGGGATCTTGTACCTCTACATGACAGATCTTGATTCTCATTTTTCCCCTTGTCCCTGCCCTCCCTTCACCCCCTCTTCTCCTCCCCATTTACTAACACTTTATTTCCATTTTTTCATTTTCTCATATTTTTTCTTTTCCCTTATTACCTTTCCCCTACCCTTCCCACTTCCCCTACACCTTTAGTCCTTTTCTTCCTATTTCACATTGTCAATTATATCATTAGGATCTTATGTACTATTATAGTTTTTTACACCAGAGAAATTACTCGGTATCTTGGATTCTTAAAGTGACAATTGACTTTCTAAAACAGAATAAATTCCCATTTATCCACTAGTGTCTGAAAATTGAGATATAATAATATTTGAAAATCAGTTAATAACAGTTAAAATATCAATGTTAGTTGGTAAGCTAAAATAAAAAAATAGATTTCTTCTCTTTGAAATCCATTATATTATCTGAAATTATGACGCAAATTCATGGGAATGAGGTATGTTGATATCTAATAAGGAAGTACGTGAGTATAGCTAATATCTTATAGTTTTTCTAAATTGTTCTCCTTTGTTTTGATGCAGCTGTGGAATCTGTTACATATGTGTCTGAACCTCCTGAGATCACACTAGGTAATGACAGTCTCGGCAACCCAGCCCATATGCTTTCTGCCGCCACTGCACCATCATGTGCCAAACTCAGGGCCTCTCTTGTGAATTCATAGTTGTCACACAGTTAATTTTCTTCTAGACATTCCTACTCATAACACTGTCCAAAAAATATCTCTTTTCTTCAGTTTTGTATCAAGACCTTTGTCTCTTTTTCTACTGTACATCAGCCAATCTGTGGATTGTAAAGCATCTTTTTCCTAACATAAATATTCTGCCAGTGTGGTATAGTGTTGAATATTTCAGGTAATATTTTTTGTATGACGAGCCATTTATACTTCCTGACCTAGCAGCATCCCTTCCATTAACACTCATTCTGTCACATTCATTTACTTGTTTTATTCATTTTTCTCTGTTAAGTGAAATCCTGTGCTTCATACCCTGCATGTGTTGTTACATTTGTTTAAATTACCTTTTCCCTTCAGGGCTCCTATTGAATATATCTTTCTAGAATTGTTGAAGAGGTAAGATCCTAGCATGAAGTAAAGATTTCCAAAGTAATAGTTTCATTTACTTCAAAAGTACATTGGAACATGGCATTTTAAAAGCTAAATGATTTATGAAGTTGAAGTGTTGTTTTGCTGCAGAAATTTTTCTTTATTTGTAAAATTCGTTACCATCCTGTCCATTGTCTGTAATTAGGGGGTGTCAAACATTATAGGAACCCCACATACTTTCCTTCAATTACCATGGAAACGTCTCCCCTGCCTTCTCAAACTATAGTCCTATCCATCCCAGATGAGCCTCACGCTGAACCCGGCAAATATTCTACTCTGTATTTCATGTATGCGGTGCGTCCATAACAGTACTCTGGATAGCAGGGGCTCTGACCTCATCGCTCCATTCACAGTGTTTGGTAGGTGATACCAGACTTCTGCATCTATCTCAGTAAGCTCTCACATGACAGTGTTGTGCACGTTCCTTAGGATACTGCTTGGAAACACCTCTCAGCTATTCTTCAAATATTTACTGCATTGCTTCTTGGCCTTTTGGCTAAGATCAAGTGCAAATATTTACTTCAGTATCTAGCAATATTTCTAGGGAAGAAATTTATATCCTGTTATTTTAAGTATATATGTATCTCCTAATTTTAATTCCTTTATCATATGACTAGTTTGATAATTCTGCCCTCGTGTAAAGAAGTATTTTAAGATATCATTAGTGTTTCAGATTAAAATACACCTCCAGAAATAAGTTTTGTAGCGTAATCCGCATATAGCAATATAACTGGCTACTTACATTGTCATTATTCAGGGACCTTACTTCTTTAATGCTTTTCTGCAATAACTTGGCCATTTCATTGTATATAGAGAAACCAAAATCATACCATTAATTTTAGATAGTCATAAAAATTTACTTGGTGAAGTGGGAAATAAATGAATACAAATTACCAGCATGGATAGCCAAATGTGCCTCTTCTTACAAGGAAAAATCCTTTTAACATATATGAGTTTTCATAGAATAAAGTTTCGTCATAAATAAGCCCAACTTTAGTTTTGATTGTTATCCATTTTTTTACATGGCTTTATTTCCAGGAGATATAGGGATATAAATTTTACTCATTGCACCCCAAAGCATCCTATTAAGTATTGCCGATAAACTCTAGAGTTTAATTATTTTCCAAAATTTATCAAACCTACAAAAATGAAATCTATCAGTTATACTTAGCTTTTTCAAAATTTGTCTTTAACAGCCCTAAAAATTTATATTATTGAAATACACACTTGTAAATATTATAGTCAGTAATTCTTATTCTAAATACTATTTCATGGGATTGCTTCATGACCTGTCTTAACCTTCACAGGGCCTGTCATATTCACTGGGGAAAGCAATTAGCATATCAGTTGGAACCTCAGGAAGCTAGGAAGTTGACAATCAGAAAATCATGACTGCATCAAACTCAAATCATCAAAATTTAGGTTTGGAGAGGTTCTAGTAAATCATGTAATTTTTGATGAAGAACCTGAATCTTTAGGCCTAATGATTGGCAGAGGGGGGCTCTAAACCAAAGTAATCTCTCACGTATCTTGATGTTCATCTTTCTACAGGCAAGAAGATACTATTAAAACTACTGTATACCTTGTATATTTTTATTTATTATCAGGAAGAAGCCTCTGAACACTCATTCAGAAACTTCTGGCATCTAATTACTCTTATTTTTAGCAAGCTCTTCCTAAGATGTCTGAGACTGAATTTTATTTCCTTTATCCCAAACATATTTCAATCAACAAAATGAGATGTTACCCCAAACTGCAACTTTGCATCTGATAATTCCTTTCCCTCCCCAGGATATATTTTTAACTTCCTTTGTGAAAAAGCAATTGGTTTTTATAATGAATGTCCTAGAACTTCTTTTGGAATGTTCAGCAAAAGAATAATTCTACAGAAAAGTATCTTGGTTGTTCATTTTTTTCCCCAATATAACTAATAAAATTTGTGTTTTGTTTTATAAGATTGATTTGTCCCATTAAGACTTTATCTTAAAATGCAATCTATATTTGGAGTATAATATGGCAATTTTCTTTTTTACATGGAAAAATTGCACATACTTGTATTTTATTTAGTACATTTGGATATAATGTGTATTTGTAATAAGAATGAATTGTTGTTTTTATGAGGTTTAGTTTCAACCTATTTGAAAGGAATTTTCAGTAGATATTTTTAAAAATTCTAACAATTCTATTCTGCCAGTGTCATTTAATGTATCTTTTTCTTTTGTTTTTTATATGTAAAAAAATATCTACCTCTACTTTGTAGAACTTTAGGAGCTTTAATTGCAGTTGCTGTGCATTTTGGTCTTCACCCACTCAACAAACATCTGAGCTTTCAGAGATTTTGATAATGTGATTCTTGAAGGGCTTAAGAGTTCCAAACCTATGTTTTTTGTTTAGCTCTCAGGCAGACACCACATACTCCTCCCAAGACAAAAACATCACAACATCCAAGAATCCCACAAACACAACCAGGTCAGTATGTATTTTACCTTGAAAAGTTTTGAGGTTAGTGGGGTAGCAGGGTGAATTTTAAACTTTGTAAAACAAGTCTTCCTCAGTAATTAAAAATATTTACTGTATACCTAGAATGTACCAATAAACTCAGTAAAAAGAAAAAATATTTACAGTACATTTATTTTTAAACTTGAATCAAAAGTACAAAAGCACATCATTAAAAGATCTTATTCCATAAAACTTCTCATTGTTTAAAATGGAGATCGTCAAGAACAGTATTCTTGGACACAGTAGCCTGCTTACTTCATACTTCTCTCCCAGATCAAGATTCCCTCCTACCCCTTCCACTTTCACTAACTATACTTCCGCCTGCTATTTAAATGGCCTACTTACAAGACAAAAAATCTGAGTTAAAATCATCCAATATACTAGGAAAGGAAAATATATTACAACTAAAGGTTCACAAAAGGAAAATATTTGGTAGCATCAAAAGTATTCTTTTTTCTGGTACTGAGGATCAAACTCAGAACTTTGCACGTACAAGGCAGGCGCATTGCCACTGAGCTAAATCCCTGGCCCTGCATCAAAATTATTCTTTATCTTTAAGGGGAAGGGGAAATGGGAGTGGTAGGGGAAAGAAAAGAAGGGAATGGAATCAATATGAGAAAATGAAAAAATGGAAACAAAGTCTTTGTAGATAGGGAGGGAGGGGATGAAGGAAGGGCAGGAGGATGGTCAAAATATAAGAACCCAGATGGGTTATTTAAAGGTGCAAATTTCCAATGATGAATGTCATCATATTATATAATTTAAATGTACCAATAAAATTAGTTAAAAATTTGTTCTTGACATAAATAATAATTCTAGATTCCTGTGTACTCATACACTTAAACCATATCTTGCAATCTCTACTGAAGGTAGTCTCTAATATCTGATTCTGGAAAAATTTTACCTGTTCTTAAATTTTTTTTTTCTCATTGAGTTTACTCCTCAGACAAAGGACTACCATCTAGAATATAAAGAACTTGGGCTGGGGATTTAGCTCAGTGGTTCTGCCGCCTGCCTTGCAAGCACAAGTTCCTGAGTTTGATCCCCAGTACCAAAAAACAAACAAACAAACAAAAAATAGAATATAAAGAATTCTCACAGGATCCTAATGAGATAATTAATAATGTGAAATAGGAAGTAAAGGGCTAAAGGTGTAGGGAAAGTGGGAAGGGTGGGGGAAAGGTAATAAGGGAGAGGAAAAAAATATGAGAAAAGAATGAAGATATTAGGTAAAGGTACAGGGTCCCAATGATGAATGTAACTATACTGTATACCTAGATTGTACCAATAAACTCAATAAAAAGAAAAAAAAAAAGAATATAAAGAACTAAAAAAAATCGGGTCCCCCAAATATAATTAGCTGTTATTAATTTTAAAGGAAATATTCTTTAAAAGACTATTTATAGCCCATATCTTATATACTAATTTTAAGTCTGCCTTAGTATATTTTTAAATCTGTTCAAGCTAATTACCATAACTTATTAAGTGAATAATATACTCTGATACATAAATATATGAAAGTACCTAGCTGATACTCAACCAAAGAATAACAAATTTGGTAACAATAAATACACTTGAAACATTAAGACAGAAAAATTCCTGAGAAAATGACTGATTAGTTATTAAATAACCAATGAATAAAATACATAAAATATATAAAATTTAAAATGATTTACCAAGTTATTAATAAACCACATATATTAAACTTATCAAGAAAGTAAAAATATAATTTTAAAAATTAAGATTTTAAAATTACATTAGAAGTTCTCAATTTTTTATTTGAATACACAGCATAGAACAAGAGTAGAAAAGAAATCAAAATTTGATAACATGAAAACTGGTATATAAAAGCTACTAAATAAGAAATACCAAAATTTCTGCCTTGCAGGCAAATATGAGGACCAGAGTTGGATCCCGGGTACAAAAAAAAGAAAAAAAGGAAGAGAGGGAGAGAATACTGAAAATAAAGACATTCAGCCTGTTTCATAATTTTTTTTAAGTTAAGGGGATAAAAAGTAATAGGTAACTTTTTTTCAAATTTTTATGAGTACTTTGTACTTATAAAAATATAGTGTAGTAAATTAGAAGCTTGCTCTAAATTATTTTGCTATAGTCTAAATTTCCAATTTAATTTTGATTTGGAACTTTAGCTTTCTTTTCTTGACAAGATGTGCAGCTTGAGAATGGACAATGCACTGCATTCCAGTTTCTTACTCTGAATCCTGATGGAGCTGCCAAACTGAAGAGAACCTTCTGATCTTATCACAGTTGAGTTAGCTTCCATACTGGTGGAAAGGAGCTACAATCCAAATACTTCTGGTTTTTTCAGTGCTATTTAATGTAAGGGAATGACTTAGAGCTCTGATCATGAAAAACAAGTGCATTCTAATTATTTTTTTACTTAAAGTGAGTAGAATTAAGATCTCTCTTTTCCATGATGAGAATATGAATATTACTTAATAGATCCTAAAAATACCTAGATTTTTATAATCTTTTAAGGATGTGTGTGCATTGTATACAAACGTAACACAAAATATTTTAAACAGAAATGTTCAAATGTTCACCTTTGGCTAGCTCTTGTAAATTTCAAGAGGCCATTTGAGAGGAAGAATATTTTGTTTAAATATATAATACCAATGCAAGGTATGCTAGACATGAAATAACTATTATCTAACAATAGCATGTAATTCAGCATAAACTATTTTATCCATCTACTCCATTTCAAAATAAAGTTTCATAATTGGGTGTATTATCTTTCTTGTTATGTTTTACTTAAGTGTGCTTATAAATTGGACAGAAAAATTCAGGTCGATGTTTGGTATTTGAGGGCAAAGAAGGATTTAAAATTTGGAACAAATAATGAAGAAAATTTTATAAGTAAAGTCGATATTTTTTGACTTCTGTGTTTATAGGTAATAATGACCCTTTGTTAATTTTATAAAGAGGTCTTATCCAAAATTGTGGGTTTGCCTAGTTTTTGTAGGGGCAAAGAATATGAAAATTGGGGTGTACTGAGATTCTTCAATTTGAAATTTATAAAGATCCTTGGAAGTGGAAGAAATTTCATAATAGTATAATTTGCACATAGTTTTGACATTTTGTATTTGATTTTCACAGTTACCCTTTCAGAAGGACAAATTTATTATTTCCACCTAAAAATGTTCTCAGTTTTAAACAAATTCAAATGTGACCAGCAGATTTGGGATATATAGAGTTCCCAAACATCTGAGCTTGAGGCTATGTCTGGTCCTCAGCATTTGATTCTGGTGGTAAATAACCATGTAACTTCAGGCACCAAACCAAGCTTTGCCTCTCTCTGTTTACTACCTTTGAAATTCCTTCCTTCCAGCATTATGTTGTGAATCACAAGGCATAATCCTTATAAAAGCAAAATTGAAATTGTAAAATGAACTGTAATTAAGTCAGACATTTTCTTCTGTTATCTATGACATTTGCACTTTGTCATTCCAAAAGCATGTGGAAAGACAATTTTAGTTCATGATTGTGTTCATTTAAAGGTTCATTGGGGGCCTGAGAAATGCAGACATAGAGTGAAACTGTTCTTGCATTGCATTGCTCACTTCACTTGCATTTCTGCTGTTTTCCAGAGATGACTTTCTCTGTCCTTGTAGAATTCTACTCTGATTATACCAACTTTATCTACTTTAGTTTCAGTGAAAGACTTGAGAGTGAGATTAAATAGAAGTCAGGCAAACACATTCAAAAAAGGAAAATCATGCTTGGATTAATTTAATTGTGGTCTCCACTGACATAAAGATTTCAAAAAAATGCATGCCATCTTGATGTTATGTTCAAAACATTTTTTATTTCTAAGACCTGATTTTTCCCAAAATATTTAAATTTCCTATACATCTATTTCTAGAGCTTATGATTAACATCTCTGTCAATAGTACTTTACTTTATCAGTGTTCAGACTATTCCTTGTTGTGCCTTATGTGTTAAGTATAACTGAAAGGTTCTAAGACCATATACCTTATGATCTGAGTTCTCTCTTTCAGTTCCTAAAGGATCTCCGAGCACTACTTCAAAACTCAAAATGCCACCAAGCCCAGAAGTGTCATACACTACATCTGGTAAATGCTTTATTTTATGTTTAAGCCAAATGCATTTTACTGTTGCACTCAGCTGAACTGAAACAGGAGAGTTGATGGATGTGAGGTTAATATTTCACATATGCTCAAATGCCCTATTGTACCTTACATGGTGTGTTTAACTCAGAGGACTCCTAAGAGTCATCCAATTTCTCATCTAGTAAAGCTATTAGTAAAATTAAAAGGTGGATACTTATGTCAAGAATAGAATGACTTTCCTAGAACTATTCTTATTCCTGACTTACAAAAACATAACCTTCTAATTCTGATTATTCTGTGTTCAATGTTTTCACCAAACAAGAAGATAAAATAATTTAGTTTCCCCCTCACAGGATAAAAGAAAGATAAAAATGGCACTTTACAAACAGAGGCAATGATATTTAGCAATGTACTTGGAACCATAAATTGTACTATGTCCAATGTTGAGGTCTTTTTCCTGTCAGATTTTATTTTTAAAGTTTATGGAGCAGTTGTTCAGTTTAAGAAATTTATTACATACATACACACATAAAAGCTTGGGGGGCTGTAGGTGTAACTCAGTGCTTATCATATACAAGGCCTTGGATTCAATCCTCAGGATGACCCAAAACTTTAAGTTACAGATTTGTTTTTTGTATATCCTCTGAGAAGGCCAATTTTTCACTTATGCAGAAAGTAATCTCATGTTTGTAGGATTATCCAGGGAGGAAATATAGAAATTCAGACATTACATGGGTCTTTATTCACTGCTATTTATATCAAGTCCTCAAAAGACCTTAGGAAGACAGCTGAACAGTTGTTATATACAAATCAAGCTCATTTTAACCCAGAGAATCTGTGGAAATATTGTAAGTTTTTTCTTTTGCTGTATAGGTATAATTATTATAAATTTCTGTTTTTATATGTTTTTAAAGTACATAGAATATTCCCAGAACCAAAGAATTTATAATTTAAAGAAGTTATAATTTGAAATGGCATAGTCTAAGGTCACTTGCTATAATGCTTTTACATACAGAGGGTGTTATTGTTGCTATAATGTAAACAGGTTCTTGAAGGTGGTGCTAGAGAGAGGCTTCTTTGTCCTAAAGTCTAGATATTAATTTTGTACTACTAGACAAAACAACCAATAATATGAACATAAAGTTTAAAAATGATGATCTTCCCACTTTCCAATGCCAATGTATTTTCAGTTGTGGGGGGAAAATGCAATAGAAATTGAGTTTTTATAGGCAACAACATAGATTTGAGTCATTTTACTTAGTTTTAATTACAGAGGGTAATGTTGCTATAATTTCATTACAATCTATTTTATGTTTTTTCTGTTTAATAGTTAATATTTGCCTTAATTTCACCAACATCTTGTTTCCACAGCAACTCTGACCCAAAGCTTGTATACGAACACTCCTCCAGGGCCTCTGCTGGTCTCTTCTGCTAACTCTTAAGCATTATGTATTCAGAGGTAGAATTCAATCTTTAAACATGCTGTTGACCCAATCACTGTGATCATGAGGGTCCCCACATTGCCCCACGATTATGACGCTTATAGGAATAATCATAAAGCAACTGTTACCACATTTATATTTTCTCAGAAGTGTTCAAAACTGGATTCTCTTGCATCCGAATAGTTTGAGGTTGTATCTCATATTTGCATCCTAATGAGTTCAAGAACTTGTTTAGCAAATCCTACCACTTATGCCTCAAAAAAAAACCAAAAAATAAATTATATATGTATTTAACATGTATTGGTAATTTAGAGGGTAAAAGTCTAAAATGTGCTGAGGTCAGGACAGAGTTATATTTTATCATGATGTTTATCTCAAAATATATTCTCAGATATCAGAAGTAACAAACTTGAGTTTTCAGACCTTTATCAAATAGTCAGGCACTGTATGATTCCCTTCTATAGATTCCTAGACATAATCTTAATCCAGGGAGGTCTTAAACTTCTCCAACCACCGAGCTGAATTATCTACTACACTTAGTGAGGACACTTGACAAACTGATCTCACATGCTATGTTCAAACCAAAGCATTATTAGATTTTCTTTGGAGAAATACTTTAGTATTAGGACTTCCCCTGATAGGAAACAGGTGACATTTACCTGGGAGCCCAAACACAGAGTTCCTGACCCAATAGAGCTCTGTGTTCCTTGTAGATTCTTCCCCTCACAAAGACCTGTCTTGACTTTACAGTCATCCTGTGGCAACTAGGCATTTGAATAGATTTCTGTCATTGGGAGTAAACCCTGAAGAAAATTTACATTTCAGCAAATCTTCATGAATGTCCTGTGTATTTACTATATCAGTAAATTCTCAGTTGCAGTTACACATTTCTGCATTTCTGTGGTTAGTTTCACATTTTCAGATAAATAGGCCTTTGTGTAATTAAGAATGAGTGTCTAATTCTAAACACTTCCTTTAAATCTTGACTCCTATTGTTTCAAAAGATAAAGATTTGGGCTTGTACATGTTAGGTATACAGAGCCAGTAGGACTTTTAGGTGGTTGAAAATGGTTTGCTGAGCTCTAAATGAAATTTAGTATTTGGGCATATGAATTTGGAAATCACTTGTCTACGTGTAGTTTTATCTTGGATTTAATCGGAATATATGATAAAATAAAGCTATTTGTTATCATTTGAAGCTCTGACATCATTGCCCTAGAAATTTGAATTGGGACAGGTTTCTATTCAATATACACATTCTATAACAGTTATTTGGCTGCTACTTAGTAGCCTAGATCTAGAGCAGATATAGTGTGCAAATTAAATCATCCTCCCTCCAAAAATGTGCATTTTATGAAACCTATTTCTACACTAATAGCAACACGATGCTTGGCTATCTCATGATACAAAATTTTTCTTCATTCTTCCTTCTGAGATAGAATTCTAGCAGAATACTAATGATTTTGTGCATTATTACAGAAGATTCAAGAAAGTGATACTGCCTACCAAAGAGGCCCTGGTATTTTCAAAATCTTCATTGTAGGAAGAGAAAAGGCTTTCAGTGAGAGACTAGGCCTGAGGAGGACTTCCTTGTGGGTAAACTGAGCTGAATAAGTGCTTTACACTGCTCTTGGAGTCAAATTCTGACATAGAAATCTGGTATAAATAATAAAGAAATCACTCTGGTATTTTCTCTAGTAAGAAATAAAGTATCACATTCCCAGACTATTTTATTTTGCGAAAACTAGACACAACATTAAAAATATACTAGGGTATCACAGATTAAATATGGGTTTGTTTAGATGGCATGTTTACCTTTTCATATTTTCCTATGTCAAGCACCCATGATACCTAATATACTGGAAACCGTGGCTCTCAGAAAGACAAAAGTCACCGTTGCTACCATTTTTCTAGCATTTACTCTGTAACAGGAACTTCCATGAACTTTATATGGTATCTTCTGATGACCAGAAATTTCCTTCTGCTTTATTTTCTTGCCACAATAATTATTAGTGTCATTTTGAATGATTTTGTCCTCTTCTTAGATATTCAGGATATCTGTCTTTCTTTCTGTTTTTCTTATTTTGTATGCCATTTATGCACTTTATTTAAGATAATGTATTTTCTTTTTATTGAGTTTATTGGTACAATCTAGGTATACAATACAGTTATATTCATCATTGGGATCCTGTACCTTTACATAATAAGTCTTGATTCTCATTTTTTTCCCTTGTCCCTGCCCTCCCTTAACCCCCTCCTCCCTTCCCCATTTACAAACACTTTATTTCCATTTTTTCAATTTCTCATATTTTTTCCCTCTCCCTTATTACCTTTCCCCCACCCTTCCCACTTTCCCTACACCTTTAGCCCTTTACTTCCTATTTCACATTATTAATTATAAGATAATGTATTTTCTATTGCTATAAGTGGGATTCTAGCATCAATGTCAAATGGCAGCTAACCACTTCAGGAAAAACTGACTTTTCTATTTTGAAAAAGACCTGAAGAAGATCTACCTTTGTGCTTTAAACAAAATTTGTTTTTTGAGGTACCAGGGATCAAATTCAGGACCTTGCATTTGACAGGCAGATGAAGTGCCAATGAGCTAAATCCCCAGCTCTCATGTTTTAAATTATACTGACTATTTTGACCCATCCTTTTTTTTTCTCCTCAAGCAAGACTTCAAAAGGAACTTTGATGAGCTGTTTCTGTTTGGTGCCACCATACCTTTCTCTACACAATGATACTTGTCCATTTAAAAAGAATAATCATCTTATCTTTGATCTTTAACCATCCTTAAAATACTTTTATTCCCTGTATATCTGAGGAGATTTTAATCATGGGTTGTGTTCGTTATAGGTGTGACATTTAGAGGATATGGTGCTTTATAATCTTTTTCTTTCAGGTCCAGAATATGTGCCCCTTCCCCATGAACCAGACCCTGAGGTCTCTCAGAGTGAACCTGGTAAATTAATTATTTTATTTTCCCAGTTAGAAGTGTATTTTTAAAAAATAGTCTTACAAATAAAGTTTAATGACTATGATATAAAAGTAGCAGCCTCCAAAAAGTAGTGTATATAAAATGAATATCTCTTTGAGGGAATTTTAATCATATAATATGGTTGGAATTTTTTTCCTCTTAAATGAAGGACTAACATGATAAGTTTATCTTCTTTGGAAGTGCTTTTATTGAATAGAATATCATACTGAAATTGTAAAACATAATTATTGAGTAAGCCAACTGTTTACATCATTTTAAAATATAAAAGTAACTACATTATGACTATAAAATATACTTTTAAGTAAAAAATGATGCCTGCTCAAATATTTTTCTCAAAATTATGGGAGTTAAATCTTTAAAATTTTGTTTAAACTAAGTTCCCTGAGTTCTGTTATGTAGAATTTGCTTACATCTATTATGGTTCTTAGTGTTCTTTTGTTCACCTTATGTTCAAATGATTAAATGAATGCATCTAGAAAATATGAAATTATTTTGGCTTTACAAGATAGTGATTCTCACTAATATGTTTCTTTGGTTTGCTTTTGATATAGTTCTGCAACCTGTTACCTTTAGAATTGAGCCACCAAAGACAACAATAGGTAATGGTTTTTCCATATTGACTCTGTTCTCTTTGCTGTCATCAAGACTGCAGGTCTTTGTCATATGACCATAACTGAAACATCATCTCTCCTCAGTCCATTTCATCATCTAATTCTCATTATTATTATTCTTTCAAAAATGGAAGAGCTATGGTTTTACTACTGTAAAGGTTTTTTTTTTTCCTGACCGCTAGTTTAAGATGGCTCATTACTGAGTGGTTCATGTTCTACCTTGTTATCTTCATAATTCTACCTTTCATGTCGCCATGTTGTGAACAATGAATGTCTGCTGGGTTAGTGGTTCTTAGCTGTAATGTTACAACATATTAGATGTGATAACTGTGAAATGTACTGTAAGGAATTAATATTGCTCAAAAGATGGAAAATTGCCATAATTTTTGTGCAAAAAATGAGCAGATCAAAAAAATTATCCCAATAATTTTGTGATAGCTATGCTTTCTTGAATGGGAGATTAAAAAGAAAGAGCTACCTCTAACAGACCAGGATTATGTCTTACACACACCCTGCCTTAACCACTCCTTGAGTGGGTCAAGCATAGATCTATTATTATGTGTCCTGGTAGAAAACAGTTGAGAACTATTACTGTAATATTCCATAATCATTTTCCTAAAAGTTCTGTACACATTTAGTTTTCATCATTACTCATATGTTTCCCTTTTTCTGCTTCAAATGAAAGAAAAGAATGTAATTCCATTCTGGTTTGGTGCTGGCTTTGAGTTAAAAGTTTATAGCCAAGGGCCTGTGATTTAGCTCAGTGGTGCCGCTGCCTCCCTTGCAAGCACAAGGTCCCAAGTTTGATCCCTGGTACCAAAAAAAAAAAAAAAAAAAAAAAAAAAAAAAACCTTGGTACTTTTCTTTTGCAGCTCCATTAGAGACACGAAGGATCCCTTTCATACCTATAATTTCACCAAGCCTTAGTCAAGAGGAACTACAACCCACTCTTGGTAAAAAAAAAAAAATTTTTTTTGATATGTCAGTCAAATGAGGGATCTACTTTGAGGAGTTGCCCTTAAAGTACATTATGTTGCCGTAAGTACATTACAATAAAGGGTTGTGTCCAAACAATACAAGATTTCTTTTTACTGTTATATAAAAAATATTTTTGTCTCTTTATACTTTCATATTAACTGTAATTTGTCCTTCTAATGTTTATGCTGATTTTAACATGGTTCCAAAGTCGATATCACCTGAGACATTGAAGTGAAAGTACTTTTCAAAATCCATTATGGACTAAACAATCTCACTTCCATGTCCTGTGAGTGTGTGTGTGTGTGTGTGTGTGTGTGTGTGTGTGTCTTTGTTTACTGAAGGAAGAACTATCTTCTGCTAACTATCATAGGTAACTTTCTTATGAGCAGAATAATGAGAATAAATTAAAGCAGGATAAACATAGTAATATGTTCTTTATGCCAAGCATTTCTTTGGGTCCAGTCTATGACAAAAGGAATGATGTTATTTGCTTATATCATTATGATGTAATAATTTCAAGAGAGTAGGCATACACTCTCATACCTATTTTGTTAAAAATGTTCTTGAATGTCAAAAACAGGTACTTTTATTTTACATGAGAAAAATAGAAGAATATTTATTCCCATAAGGTATAATGACGTATCTTCTCATGTAATATCTATTTCTTCCAACTCATTTAAACGCCAGTGAATTTTTGGAGTAAGGAGGAGACAGAGAGAAAATAAATGCATAAGACACAAGATTGTTTCATACATAAGCCACACCTCAAATTAACTAATATGGGGTCATAGAACAATGGTCCTGTGCAAGAAGCATTTGAAATCCTAGTAATAATCATTAAAATAATAACAAAAGTCAGAAAATATAATAAGCAAGATTTATTATTAAAATACACCACTAGCTGAATTATTATGATTCTAGGGCATATTTTTAAATGTAATTTACTCTTTTGTCACTGCATGGGGCAGAAAAGAACATGGAGTGCTTTTGTTTTAACTTTTTTGTTATATTCACAGTGATAATTATTTCAAACAAGCCATCTTACTATGTTTTTCTTCAGAAAAAATAGACCAATCTACCCAAGAGCTCTTCACAACTAAGATTCCACGAACAACTGAATTGGCAAAGACAACTCCAGGTAATACTATTTCTCCACCTCTGGAGAATGACTTTTCTCATTTGCTTCCCCTCCCCCTCATTGAGTTTATTGATACATTTTAGGTATACAGTACAGTTACATTCATTATTGGGATCCTGTACCTTTACATGACAGGTCTTGGTTCTCATTATTTCCCTTTTTCCCTGCCCTCCCTTCACCCCTCCTCCCCTCCCCCTTTACAAACACTTTATTTCCATTTTTTCATTTTCTCATATTTTTTTCTTTTCCCCTACTAGCTTTCCCCGTACCCTTCCCACTTTCCCTACACCTTTAGCCCCGAATAGTCTCTCTGGTGTGAATAAACCATAATAGTACATAAGATCCTAATGATATAGTGGACAATGTGAAATAGGAAGAAAGGGGCTAAAGGTTTCATTTGCTTTTAATCAAGAAACTTTCTTTTCAAAAAGTTTTTTCTCATCATGGTGAATTGCTTAACTTTTTTCATTTTGAACATAAAGGACATCAGCTAAACCTGAATCTGAGTATCAGTTGAATGCAGAAAGGACAAGTTCTTTAGTTACAACATTGTTCTTGAATGTTTGTCCTCTAGGTGCTGATAACTAGTAATAAAAACTCTCCTTTTTGTCTTCCAGCCTAACCATCATATGTCTCATTTTCTACATCTGATAAATAAGGAAGAATTTTTATCATTTTCCTTCTTCCTTGCCCAGGCCCTCCCCTTCCCAGTTCATCTTTTCTCCATCTGTCTCATTTCACCCCCCATGATGAAACTCACTTATTTTGTGGCCTGAGAAAAGAAACTATTGATAAGAAAAGAACAAAATCTTTTTTAAAAAAAGTAGTGACAGTATTTAAACCTCCAAGAAGGCATTTTTCTCTAATTTTCTGTTATTACTTCTCTGTGACTTCCTATTTTGGGGGAAATGTACTCACCTACAGAAACCTGTATACCTTTGTGCTTTTTGTATTTTCCTATCCTGTTTGGATTATATCCAGTTGTGAATATCTAGTACTTTAGTGTTACTGTCATTACTCTTTTAATGATCCCTTTTGCCCGTCCTTATTAAATGATAGAAAATGAAAAAGAAAAAAAAACAAAGTAAACTTTTTTAAGGAGTTGGAATGTGAGAGGGAAAGTTGGTGGATTAAATTTGAATTAACAAGAGGAAATGATAATGACAAAAAATCTAATTTGAGATATATACTTAGACAATATTTATTCTAAACAAAGGCAACTAAGTAGGACTGTTGTACAGGACAGCTTCTTTAAATTCTACAAATCTTTTCCTGTTTGATGGTTTAGCTTTTTATTAAATTTTCATTTTATTAATTAATATTTTCTTTAACTTTTATTTCTTTATAAATACACACATTATTCAGAAGCATAACATCAGCCTTCTCACATCTTCATTATCATCTTTAGCCATTAACAGCAGATGGTCAGTTGTGTTATTACATCCATATCCTGTCTTTCTTTCTATGTTTTGGCAAATCTCTTTAACATTTCATTTTATAGAAGATAGGTGTATTCTCCTGACCAATATCTTGGTGTAAAATATATAAATATTTACAGTAATCAGGATAAGTAAAGATACTCACTCAGGTCAGGCTGTGCTCTCAACTTTTAAAAAAAGTATTTCAGCTTTTGAAAGCTTTGTAGATTCAGAATCAAAGATCAAAGCCTTGTTTTCCCCTGTTTTACTTTTTCTTAAATAGGAATGTTGATATTGTGTCATCATTCCAATGTATATAGAATTTTTGTCAAATTCCTTCTAAACCATTTTTTATTACATGAGAGCTTAACACTTTACTGGGTATCTATGAAGGATGTGCTATTATTATATAAACTATCTTTATACATTTAAGCAATGAGTTATATTTTACTTTTATCCTCATATATTAAGGTTCTTAGATTGAGCCTCTACTGTGCTGCCCTAGGATTCATGCTTCAGGTTTTTGGCCAGAATCTTTAGGGTGGGCTCATTAGGAATCCATTTGCAGAGACAACAAAGAACAAGTTTATTTTATTTATTTATTTCTTGGTACTGGAGCTCGAACTCTGGACCATGTGCTTTTGAAGCAGGCAGCAGAACCACTGAGCTAAATCCCCAGCCCCAAAGAACAAGTTTAAAAGGAGCCCATCTGCGAGTGTAAGAGAGCATTCACAAGCTGGTCCATCCCAATAAACCTGTTTGACAGTAGAGGGTCAACTTTTATAAAGGCACACTGTGTGTCCCTGGGATCATCCTCATACATGTGCCTGAGTGCTGAGTCAGAGGACAATCTGCTATTTTGTTTTATTTTAATGTCAGGCATTAGGAATATAAGAAAGCATGTAGCAACTGAAAGACATGCAGTAGAGATGAAATCATTCCTCTTGGTCCTCATACTCTGACCATGTGTATGCCACTGATACTTGTGGCTTTGTGGTCTCCAATCCCTATCTCCCACATCATTTTTTTGTGTGTTGCAGACTTATCCCTGTGTCTACTGAGACAATTTCCTTGCAGGGTTCTGTAACTCAACCCCTTTCCCTCTCCCTTCTGATTTCAACCCACTGTAGCTTTGATCATTTTCTGTAGGTCTGATCATTTTCTTTCATCCAATTGTCTCTCCCCCACCCAGGGAAATATACCTTGTTCCTTGTTCCCTGTAAGGGGGAAGACTATGAGAACTCAAAATATTTCTCTGTAGTCACTTTATACTTATTTTTTATGGTTTCTTTATACAGTATTATAATGTTTTATAAAAGTACATTTTTATAACGTAATTTAGATAAGTCATCTTTTAAATTGTTCATTTTTATTATTGGTCATCCCAAACTATGTGATAATGTTTATGTAGTTACATTGTCATATAGCTCTTCTGTCTTCTTCTGTTTTGCTTTGTTTTTTTGTTTTTTTTTTTTCAGCTTAAAGTTGAAACTCCGTAGTGGTTTTCTTAAGGTCATGAGGTAGTTGGTAATAAGTTATATGAATTAACTCCAAGACTAAAGTTAAATTATATTTCAACTCTTATTAAAAGTTCTTTCTAAATTTAAGTGAAGACTAAAAATAGCCTCTGATCCTATGGTTTTGTAATAATGAATGCACTGCTGATTATTTATTTTTGTGCTGTTCTCTGATCTCTTCCCTGTTCAAAGTTTTAAAATTTGTATGTTTTCTAGAATGAGACAAATAGAAACCATGAAGCAAAAGCAATCTAACCTTAACAATGGTTCATATTAAAAAAAGCTGAAATAGGTTAGACTGAGAAGAATTTCAGTCAACTCTCAAAACTGAAGAAAAACATTTTCAAGTCATCATTTAGGGTGTGTGGGAATTAATACTTTCTAACAGTCCCTCTATTCCCTCTGATTATAACCCTTGGGAGGGATCTAGAGAATTTCAATATGCCTTTGCTGTTGCTGCCTTGCAGTATTGCAGAATCTTGCTCATCATAGTCTTCTTATTGGAAGCTTATAAATGAGCTGCATTGTAAACTATTTCATGGGTGTATTTTGTTTTTTTAAGCTGGGTAGGCAAAGCATTGATGATTTATGAACAAAATCATAAAAATGATGTAATCTACATACATAGTTTGCAAGAAAAATTCTTTCCAGTCTCAGCTAAAGCTTTAGCAAGAAAGTTGGTTGCAAAAACCAGCATCTGGTATGAGAGAAACAGGGAAGAGCTAAAGTAGGATGAACAAATTCCAGGGTGAAAATACACTTTAAAACATTAAAAAAACAAAAATATTTAGTAACTTTTATCAAGTTTGCCTGCTTACAATGGTTCCCTGTTTATTAATTCATTAAGATCTCATTAGAGTTCATGTCCAAGGCCTGGATAACAGGAGTGGAGACTAAGGAGATGTTTCGGTCTCAAGGATTAATTCTCACTCCTTGCTCACGTTTCCTTGATGGTGGGGAACCAGATATCATGGTCTCTATTTCTATGTATGGTACCAATATGGAGGGCTTTCAGAGTTTATGAGTAAAGTCAATTCAGTAGAGACTTCTGTTCCTACTTTTCGTCTTCATATCTACTAAAGACTTTGTTTCTCTTTTGGTCTTTAAGTTTGCTTTTCTTCTTTGGGAAAATAATGTTTTACAGTGATTCCTTACCGAGAGACATGGATGGGTGGATGGTGGATGGTGGATGGATGGATGGATGCATGGATGCCTTATGTGTTTATAGCATTAAGCAACCTTCTGGGAAAACCAATGCACTTGAAAAACATGGAATAGATGACTAATCCTTAATACATATTACAAATTATCTACATCACTCTATATACATATTTGATTTTCTTTCATGAATATGTTCATTTATATTATATTCCTTTAGCATGAAATATATAATGAATAATTCAAGATTTCAAAACATTCTTTTTATTATCTTCCAAAGCCTATTAGTTGTTAATTCTTAGAGTGATATATCTCCATTAATTTAGTGGACTTTGAAGTATAAGTAATTAAATATGAAGGGTTTCTTCTATTTCAGCACTGCACAGATACTACACTACTCCTGGAAGGTCCAGAATACCTGACAAATCACACATCAGACCTGGTAAATTGTTTCTCTTTCTTTGATGACCTAAATAATTCAGAGTTTGAGGAAGATATTAAGTGGATTTAAACAGTTAAATTCACCAAGAGAGATACATAGGAGATACAATAAAGATATGCAGAATCTCTGATCTTTGTAGGTAATTATAGAGGCACTAATGAATCGATGTAAATGATAGAACTTAATTAAGGTTTTTCATGAGTGTTCAGATTCAGAGACCACTATAGAACTATATTGATATGAAAATATTTTTTAAATGGTATTTATGCATAAATCATATAACTTCAACTTTCCATGACGGTTTCAAATATTATTTCTTCCTTCAGAAAGCATTATCTTTTCTCAGTATAAAAAGGCTTTGTAAAGGGAGAACATGTTTATTTTACTCCTTTAAAGGATAAAAAAAAATTAAATTGTAAACAGCCAAAATAAAGTCACAGCTATATATTAGGAAATACTTTAAATTTACTAAATTCTCTAAAGACCTTGGGATTTTCTTCCATAAAGTATTTTTAAGTAAGCGTTAACTTGAAAAGGTTAACTTGGAGAAGTTGATTCAACTCCTAATGGTAATTAGGCACAGATATCCTATGTAAACAAACATCTTCATTTATGGATTTTGTGTCAGAGGAGCTGTTGGGGGTTCAATATGTTACTGTAAATCATTTCTACAAAATAAGGAAACAGTAAAGATAATGGTTGACCAAGGCTGAATGTTTGCCACCTGATCTCTCAGATACAGTTTAGGAAAATGAGATGCTGAAAGCAATCAGAAAAGGCAAGCAGACTAGCTCCAGAACTTACTCACACAAACAAAATCTGTTCCATGCACCTCCTTAAAGATAATTCTAAGTGACTATAACATAGGTGACCTCTTAAAGTTTTGGAAGTGTGTGGCATTCTACAGAGAAGGAGAGAAATTTAGATGTTTTCATCACAATGTTCAAAGTGCATGTCTGCAAGGACTAATACAATAAAACATCTGTCCCTAGAGACTCCTACAAAAGGACCACCAACTTATGAGTTATGAATTGAGGCCTTGACAATAAATACACTTCAAATTTTGATTTTTTCCTTAGATATATATAGTCCTGCTCTTTCTTCAGTTCCGTTTTAGAATATATTTAATGCTGATAGATGAAGCAAGATAAATAATTCCCAGTTAGATTTATAAGTTTCCTTTCCAGTTATTTTTTCAGGTCAAATATTAAATCCCAGTGACTATCTCACTAAAAATTTAGATCTCTATTTCCAGACTCATCTGTAATTTTTATATCAGAATATAGTTTCTGTATTCTGAACAAGGCTCTTTAGTGAAACATAATTTTCTTATTGCTAGTTAAATTACTTCCATCTTGAAATTTGTTTTCCTTAGTGGCAAACTTTTAACTACAAAATATTAAACTATTCATTTCCCATTTTTTGTAGTTCTGAACAGGACAACTATCAAACCTATTAGACCCAAACCTAGTAGGATACCCAGCAGGAATGGAGTGGGAACAGGTAATCTAAATTTATTTCCTTTTAGTCTTGTCAAAACTACAAAAGTTAGTTATTGTTATATAATTTTGTTAAATTTATACTTCAATTTCTGGGTTTTCTCTCTCTCTCTCTCTCTCTCTCTCTCTCTCTCTCTCTCTCTCTCTCTTTTTTTTTTTGT